TGTGTGGTAGAAGACACCAAAACCAGGGCTTGATGCATGTTAGGCAAGCACTAGGGTAGTCATATTTAAAAAGAAACTAGTGAAGGGCACGTGATGTGAGCTTCCAAGCCCTCAGCAACAGGGACAGGAGGAGACTGCAAGTCATGTCACAGAGCTAGATCTGTTAAAAGTCTTTGGGACTTCAGAGATGGCTCTGGTTAAGAGCACCAACTGCTCTTGAAGAGGATCAGAGTTCAGTCCCAGCACCAGGTCAGGTGACTCACAACCTCCTGTAACTACAGCTCCAGGGGATCTGATATCCTCTCTGGCTGGGGCAGGGGGTGATGGCCTTCACCCCTGATTGGATCCAGATGAAACAGGCAAGTATAGGACATAATTTAGCAACCTGGGACCCCATCTGGGTTGTGCAACATACTCCCCCTGTAACAACGTACTTGGCAGCTTAGCCCCTGTATGTGCGTGCACTACACACATACACCCATCCAAACAATGCACCTAGCCACTTCAGAACACCCTCAGAGCTCCAAACAATACAGTGGATTTCCCAGCTCCTGACAATAATCAGATTTAGACAGTTTCTATTCATTCCACTGTATTCTCAATGTATACGGTTTGAAGATAGAAAGGCTTATCCAATCTGAATTAGTTTGGGTAGCATGTGTGAAATAAGTCAAAATGTTGTCTTCAAGTAAATTCATGGAGAATACCCTATTTACCCTCTTCCTCCTATGTATAATTGAATGTGCCTATGGTTAAAGTCAGGGCATTATAGAAAGGGTCATGTATAGAAGGAAAATAGTTTTATGACATAATCTATCACTAACAAAAGAAAAACACCTTCACTGTATCCCTTGTGACCAAATTCCTCCTCTTTAAGCCCCCCAAAAGAAACCTCAAATAAGAATTGGGGCCCTGCCAGGCAGTGGTGGTGCATGCCTTTAATCCCAGCACTTGGGAGGCAGAGGCAGGCAGATCTCTGTGAGTTCGAGGTCAGCCTGGTCTAGAGAGCAAATTCCAAGACAGCCAGAATTACACAAAGAAACCCTGTCTCAAAAAAACAAAAACAAAAAATAATTGGGTCTCTTAGGCTGGGTAGATGGCTCAATGGTTAAGAACACTGGATGCTCTCCCAAGGGTCCGGGATTCAATTCCCAGCACCCACATAACAGTTCATAACTGTAACTCCAGTTCCAGGAGGTCTAACATCCTCATACAGACATATGTGCAGGCAAAAACATCAATGTACAGGAAATAAAAATTATAAAAACAAATTGGGGCCCTTGAGGATCTTTGCTCATGTGGCTGGCTTCTCTCTTACAATGTATTCTGATCTTTATTTTTTCTTAAGATTTTTATTTATTTATTTTATTACATATATAGTGTTCTGCCTACATGTATGCTTATAGGCCAGAAGAGGGCACTAGATCTCATTATAGATGGTCATGAGCCACCATGGATTCTGGGAATTGAACTCAGGACCTCTGGAAGAGCAGCCAGTGCTCATTCCATGTATGACAGAATTTTGGCTAGCTGACCTTCTGAAGGTCTTATGCGGGTAACCACTGCTTCTGTGTGTTCATGTGTGGGCTACCCATGTATTCATGGTCAGAAAACTGCCCTTCACAGCACTCCTCCCCATCCTCCAGCTCGTACACTCAACTCCTCTTCTACTGTGCTCCCTGAGCCACCACTGGGGAGAAAAGGGCTGATACAGATGTCCTGTTTAGATCTGAACACTCAGCCTCTTTAGTTCAGCACTTTGTCATGTCTAAATTTTCATAGAAGCCGATCTAAAACATTAACCCTCCTACATCCAAACTCCAAGATCATGAAAAGCTCTGGTCAGCTCTGCTTGTATGGAATGTCTGGGTCTTTAATCTACCACGATGTTCAGGAATTGGCATCCTGGGATCACAACACTGTGGTTGACAGCCCCACCACTACTACCATATAAAGTAGCAAACTCCTATAATCCTAGCACTGGAGAGACTGAGGCATAAAGATTGCAGTGAGTTCAAAGCCAGCCTGAACACATGGCAAAATTTTGTCTCAAAAACAATAATAAGTCAGAACCAGATGTTGCAAGCCTTTAATTCTAGTACTTGAGAGGCAGAGGCAGGCAAATTCCTGTGAATTCAAAGACAGCCTGATCTAAATAATGAGTTCCGGGACAGCCAGAGCGACACAGTGAAACTAATAATAATAATTAATAATAACTATTATTATTGTGAAAAGAGGAAGAAAACTGGCCTGTATGAAAAAACAGTCCTCAAGCAATCGAGCTTTCATGAGACATCTTAAAGCATTTAACATGCCACCTGTCATTTAAGGATAAACAAATATGAATGCCATACTGATTGATCAATGGACATATCAATAGGTAATGATTGGAAATACAATGAGGATGAAGATATTTTAAAGGGCGAAAGGAATAATAAAAGAGGGAGAGTGGGTCAAGATTGGTGGATATATAGGCATGAGTAGATGGACAGAGGGAAGAAAGGAAGGACCACAAAAAGACAGACCACAATTAAATCCACCACATTACATATCCCAAGGCTGAGAAATAGAAAACAGCATCCTCCTGCAGTCTTCCTGTGGGTCTTTCCCCTCTAATTTTCCTGGAGTCTTATAGGACAGTTCTCCAAGTACCCTTGGACACTCACCCATTTCTAACTTGTTCTCAAGAATAGCCTCAGGAATGAAATAAGCAGACCAGAAACAGTCACCTTCATAAACGGGAAATATTTCAACACAGCACAACAAATGACATCACCTCAGTATAAAATCCAGAGCAGTTTCTGTATAAGTGCAGTGCAGGACAAGACACCCTATACCCTGGGCCAGGGCAGCCTTGGGGGCCTGATTCACAATGAACTCAGGCTTCCAGTGTCCCTTTCTACCTATGTGTGAGTTCTTTTATGTAATTGTGATACAATCTTCTCAGTGAGCTCAGACAAGTTGGTAACCAAAGCATCCTGGACCTGCTTCCTGGGCCTCTTCCATCCCCACGCCCCTTGCTCCTCTCTCCTCAAAAATCCCTCAGTCCCCAAGATAGAGAGGGCATGGTAGAAAAGAGGTGTTTGGGACTATTATCATCTCTTGATTCCTGGCAGCTACGGAACATAAAAAAAAAATGGGTCAACAGAACAGAGGGGCAGAAATGGCCAGGCCATGGGGATAAAAATCTTGACAAAATCAGATTGGATCTGATTTTAAAGAACTTTCTTTTGGCTTTGCTCATCCACAGGAGGACTGGAGCTAGATGATGGCTTTGTGGGTATGCTGGGTAGACCTTGGGGAATCTGAGAGGTGAAATTCTCTCACCTTGCCTTGTTCCTGCCATTGTGTCCCCAGAATATGAGGGACTGTCTCATCTTCCCTACTTCTCCAACCCTCGCAGATACAGAAAACTACAGAGAAGACATGCAGTGTCTTAGTTCTTAGTTTCTTTTCTGTACTTGTCATAAAATACTCTGACAAAAGTAACTTAAGGGCGAAAGGTTTTATTTCAGCTCACAGTTCCAGGTACAGTCTGTCCATCGTGGCGGGAAAGTGAAGGCAAGGGCTGCTTACTCTTTAATCCTATGCCACAGCCTGATGCCACCCTTGAGAATGGCAGTATAAATACCTCATGAGGTCAGTATTGCAAACTTTCCCTAAGGATAACAATGTGCACGCACACACACATTTTAAATCGTTTTAAAGATTTATTTCTTTTTATTATGTGCATTGGTTAGGATTTATTTTATTTTTAATTAAGATGGAGAATACGCACATGACGACTGGTGCCCGTGGAGGTTAGAGGTATCAGCTCCCCCTGGAGCTGGAATTACAGGTGGTTATGGCCACCCAATGTGGGCGCTGGGACTGCACCATACCTCTACCCAAACTCCTGACTGCTTGCTGTCATTGTCAGAACAGAAATCAAGGAGTAATAAATGAATGCACCTACTAAGAAATTTAAAAGGGACCCCTCCTTCCCCCAAAGCATCCACAAACAGGAAGACAGTGCGGAATTCACCCAATGAGAAAGTATTGTTACAAACTACTTAATTCGGTTCCAACAATAACACCACAAAGCATCCGACTCCAAAGATTTAAGGGGAGGTCCCCAGCTGTTCTACTTTGGATGCCTGTTACAAGAAGAGACCCCAAGACACTTATCAACAAGCTAAAATTCTGATATTAAGATAGATGGACACACCACTTCCTAGACATTCAACAGCATTTGACTAAATGACTGAAAAAAAATAAAAATCACTGTCTCGGCTCGAGAGGAGGGGCAATGACCCTCTGACCATTAGAAAGATTTCCATACCCTAGCTAGCTCTAGACTGTATTCTCTCTGGTGGCTTATTCCTTCTGGCCTGAGGTCATTCAAGAACTGGGCAAGCAAAACAAACAAGCAAACAAACAAAAAAAGCAAATTGACAGGGTCAAAGTCAAAGTGGGGACGCGGGGAACAGACACTGTAAGGAGAGGCCCAAAGCACTTTTTTGTTACGGCCTCGTGCCAAGGCCACAGCCCACCAACGTGTGGAACCCTAAAATCTGACTAAGTCTCTAGAAAAGAGGGTCCTGCGTGTCCGGTATCTGAATAAACTCTGACTAAGCCCCTTCAGTAACAAAACCCAGGACCACTACTTTAGCGTAACATTTTGAACCCACCTCCTCCGAGGAAAAACTGGCTCCTCCCCTTCCGGGTGATACGCAAACCACACCCCTAGAGTGCGAAGGTATCCCTGTGATGTAATTGCTAACGGTCCGTTTCCGGGGCGGAGCCAGGGAGGGCGGGGAGTTTAGGCTGTGCCGACCCCTGAGCCCCCCTTCAGGTGACTCCAGCCCCTGAAAATCTTCATCCAAGGCCCTAAATGACCCAGCCCCACTGCCGCCAGACCGCTCTCCTTGACGACTCCACGCCCCGGTCCCTAGATAGCCGTCCTTCTAACGCCTTAACTTCCAGTGACTTCCACATTATCAAGCCGGTCCTGTCCGGATGTGGCAATTGGCTTGCGGGGGGCCACCTGCCTCAGAGAACCTGAGGACTATTCAGACTCGTCCTGGGAATGACGGAGGAGGGGACTTGCGGCTGGGAATAAGTGTTCCTATCATGCTGCTCCCCAGGAACCGTTCGGAGCCCGGGACATGTCGCGATTGAGGAGATACGAAGTGGCGCTGGAAGCGGAGGAGGAGTGAGTGGAGGCGGGAGTTGCGGAGGAGGGTTATGAGGCCGGGGGTGGGGGAAGGTGCGCGTCCTGGGGCGGGCGGAGCGGGCCCTCGTGGGGCGTGGGCTGCTGGTGTCCAGCCCCTGGGGGCGGGGCTTCCTTGCGGGCTAGGTTCCAGGGGTGGGGTCTGTGGGTCAGCCCCGCCCCTCCGGGTCCGGCTCTGCCTTCTCTTTGCAGGATCTACTGGGGCTGCTTCTACTTTTTTCCTTGGCTGCGAATGTGGCGCAGGGAGCGGAGGTGAGGGGGCTGCGATCTTGCGGGGGGCATGAAAGAGGTTCTGTGTCGGAGGACGGATGCGGGGGAGTTCAGGAGCCCCTGCCCCGCCTCATGTCATTGTCGGGTCGCCCTACAGCTCGGCGCACCCCCGGGAGCAGAAGCTGGAGCCTCTGCGGGGCCTAATGAGCTGTTTGTCGAGCGGCCTGAGGCCTGCTCCCCAGCGCTCAGGTCGTGGTCTCCTCTGTCGTGCCCCCACCACCGCTGCACAGACAGCCGGTGCATTAAAGATTTAAAGTCACGCCCACTGCCTTCCTGACTTTACCGCCGCAGCCGCCTTTGGTGCTGGGAATCCCACTCCACACCTGCTGTTTTCTTACCCACAGGGAGTCCCTCCCTGGTAGGATGCCCTTGCATGTGAAGGCCTCCGTTGCTCCTAAGGGCCCCTAATTATCGTCAGGTTTCCAATTACTATCAGTGACTGGCTCCCTGCCACACCCTCCCCAAAAAACGCCCACACAGTAAGCCTCATATTTCCGCACTTATCAATGTTCCCACAACTCCAGCTGTTATCACCGGAACTTTGCCAAGTGTCTGAAGAATCTTCTCTTCCTGGGAGTGAATCTAAAACATTTTAGCCAAAATTACAGAGTCCGCTGTCAGCGAGAGGAAGGACAAATTCCTAGAAGCTGCCTCTCAAAGTCTACCTCAGGGGAGTGACAAGGGTTGAGGGCCCAAGAGTAAAACCCCAAAACTTGATCCTCCAGTCTGATCCCAGTTTTTTGTTTTGTTTTTTCATTTGTTCCTTTTATTACGTGTGTGTGCGCGCGCGCGCGCGCGTCCACCACAGTTCATGTGCATGTAGAGGTCAGAGGACAGCTTGTGAGAGTCTGTTCTCGTTTTCTACCATATGAGTTCCAGGGATCCAACTCAGGTCCTCAGGTTTGGCACCACAGCCATCTTGCCAGCCCCTGATCTGTTTTAAAGATACATGCCACCCGTTTTTATCTTGTCAACCCAAATCATTCTGGGACCAGCTCTTACAGTGGAGAGTCAGGTTGCCTCAGTCACCTCCACATAGACACTAACTCCAGCACCAGAAAAGACACCTGCGGATTAAGTTATGGATTCTGGCTGAGCCCAGAGCTGACTTTTAGCCTGTCACTGTCTCTGCCATAGCAGATTGTGCTGGGAAAGAAGAGTTGGCTTTCATATCTTTAGAGACGCCAAAAAGGAGAGATGGGTACATGGCCAGGAAAATGTTTCTGCCTTCCAAAGATCTCTGGATTGACAAGTCCAAGAAAACTCACAAATGACAGGCAACTAGCTAACAGAAATCATGCAAGACAAAGATGATACCACCTGGGGAATTTCCTCAGAATCTATCTTATCCCTCCCTCTCCCCCTCTCCCTCATCCTCCCCCTCATCCTCTCCCTCTCTCCCCCTCTCTCTCCACCTGTCCCTTCCTCTCTCTTGCCTCTCTCCCTCTCCCTCTTCCTCTCCCTTTCTCTCTTTGATGCTACACCCAAGCCTTGGGACAAAGGTCTAGACAAGGAGTAAGAAATACCCTAAAGCCTCAGGTACAAAAACTGAGGATGAGTGGCCTCTGGGTTGTGGTTACTTTCAAATACCTAAAAGTGTGCAAACTTTTAGCCATTCCCTCACAATGGGTACATCAAAGACCCCTTCAAAATCTTTGTCTACCTGAGCCCACATCTCCCCAGACAGAAGACCTCTGAGACAATGTCCAGAAGGGTGGGTCTCGCCCTGGACAGGAGGAAATGAGGCTTAGATTCTCAGCCTAACTGTAGCAGAACAAGCTGCTCAGATACAGTGGCAGTCCTATCCCAAGAGCTCTACCCACAGAGGATGACTGACCTGGGGGGGGGGGGGGAATGCAGCAGACAGATTAGGGACAGGTCCTTGGGTTATGGCTCAGTTTATATTTCAAATCCAGAACACGACTTGAACATTGAAGTCTCCACATTAGGAGCCTAGGCCACTAATTAACCCAACAAGCATGCCCCACCCCTGACAGATTACAGCTTTACAGAAGAACTGACCCAGGATGAGTAAGAATTTTGCATGGAAGAGAAGGGGGGAGTAGAACGGGGTGTTCAGAGTTTGGGAAAGTGGGTATTTCTGAATCTGAGTTGGGAGGGGGTATGTTCCTTCAAGCCCAGATTGTAAAGAGGATAGAATTTGAATTAAAAGAGACCTAACTTAGCTCTTGAGTCTGATGTCTCCAACAAGCCAGAGACTAAGTCTGGAAATCCCCAGGCTCCCACTGACAAGCTGGCAACCGTGGAACGAGACTAAGCAGAAGCAAGAAGGTAAGATTTGGGAGAGGGGCTTTATCATCTTCTGGGAGTTTTGTGTGTTTGTTGAGACAGGGTCTCACTGTGTAGGCCAGGCTGGCCTGGAACTCACTGTGTAGGCCAGGCTAGCCTCAAACTCATAGAAATTGAAGTGCTTCTGCCTCCCAAGTGCTGGAAATAAAGACACATGCCACAATACCCTACCCCTTGCACTGTTCTAACAGCAATTGGGCATCAAAGAGCTTTTCTTCCTCCTCCTCATCTACCTCGCTTTCCCTCCCCCTCTTCATGGTGGAAGTCTACCCCTTAGCCAAGAAGAGTCTGCTTTGGGTACACAGTTCTCTCAGTTTCTCCGGAAAAATAGGCAGGCTAAGGCAGGGAGTAGGGAGGAGAAGATGAAGGCAGATTAGTGTTGGCCTGCCTTCTGTTCCCACCCACTCATAAACTCTTCTGCCAGAAAATGTATGTCTTAGTATGATAGATAGTACAGAGGGATGGCTGTGGAAATGCAAATGTATTGCAGTGGGACTGTATGATTTTTGTCTATGATTATACAGTCATGGGTGTGACTTTTATGAGGTTACGTGACCAACATATGACTTATGAATGTGCGGCTATGAGCATGAGTGTAAATGCCCATTAGTAGATGCCCCAGGGGATCGTGGCTGTCCTAAGATGCTGTAATATCAGCCCCTACATCGTTTACTACCTCTCTTCAGTGTTCCCTGCTCAGGGCTTAGGAGCCCATGGGAAATGGCAGTCCTGGAAAGGGAAAGGGATGGGATCAGTGGTAACAGGCCAAGAGTTAGAGCTCAGTATCACAAGATAAGCAAGGTATTGGCCACCTGTGCCTGACTCACCTAGTGCCCAAGGCAAAATGCAACTAGATAAAAGGTAGGGAGAGGAGGAGACAGAAGTGTCTAGGCTGAGCGGCATGGAGGGGCTCTCACCCACCAGCAGCCTCCTGTTGATATTGTTGCTTCTGAGCCCAGACCCTGGAGCAGGTAAGTTATCAGAGGGTATAGGACGATTCGTGAATGAACTAGAAGGGATGGGGCCCAGAAAGTTCAACTTCCAGCTATCTAACAGAGCAGCTGTTAGACCTTTCTGAAGACATGCCCCTATTGTTCTACAGCCTTGCCACTGCCCTCCAGTACTACCTGTTGTACTCAGCTCTATAGACAACCACTCCCAAACAAGCTACTGAGGAAGATCATCCACGTGAAACTGCAGAAGGCTGATGGGGACTGTCACCTTCAGGCTATTGTGTGAGCTCTGCCCCCAACCTTGACACCTCTAACTCTGCCTCAGAACAACTGACTTTGATCCCAATCCCAGCCCCAAAGCTAATTCTGATGCCTACTCAAGTTTTCATCTGGCTCTTGCCCCTAACCCTTGAACCCTGTACCTAAGCTCATCCCTCAAATATCACCACAGCTTTGGACTTTTCCCTTCCCAGGCTTCACCTGGCTCAGCGCAGTGTTTGCGTTCATCCTCAGAACCGCAGCCTGGCTCGCTGGTTTGAGCGCCATGGGAAAAGGCTCCAGGAGACTAGATCCAACTTAAATCTGGAACTACAAATGAAAATGTACTCGAGCCCCCAACAGCAAAACTAATAAAATATTAGACAATAATCTCCAAAAAGTTCTTCAGTTCTTTATTTCAACTCTTCACTGTCCCTACAAGGGCCAAGGCACGGTCTGCACACACTCTCCAAGCATCTATACACACACACACACATACAGAGAATGTATGTTCCTTATCTCACATATGCACAGTCACAGAAGAACACATGCACATCTATACACATCCCCTGGGGGGACCTCCACCTCAAGGATGGCATCAGAAGTCCAGGCAGCATTCAGCTGGCAGCAAGTTTGGAGTATAGGGTCTCAAAAGAAAAGGGCTTCAGACTTCCAACTGAGACCTCCATCCATAGGGATACACTGCCCTGCCCCTTTCTCCTGTCCATTTAACCACCCCAGCCTGACGGGGTTACAGGTAGAATCAGCTGAAGTCCTCCTGGGTCCTCTGCAGGTTTGGAATGCCTAAAGGAGCAGGAAGCAAATCAATACACAGTAGGACTGGGCCCAGACAGCCTGAGAGTAAAAGGGGGACATTCCCAAACGCTCCGAGGAGGGACAGAGGGGCCCACTTTTGAGAGAGCACTAACACCCTAAAGATAAGGAAGTAGACATAGCTCTGGGCCTTGGGGCGGGGGAGGCAAGGTGCTCAGTGAGTACAGCATGTGCCAAGCAAGCAAGCAAGCCCAAAATGAGTTCAATTCCTGGAACCCACATAAAGGTGGAAGGAAAGAATGCCACAAGGTTGTCCTCTGACATGTCATAGCATGTATGTGCCTACATACACATAACATACACACACAACACAGTAATAAAATTTAATTTTTCAAATCAGAGAGAGGAGCAAGCATATATCCAAGACATTTAACGGAGGAAGGGGAGACAGCCAGTTCTCACTCCTTGAAAGAGAAGGGAGCTACCTGGAATTCTCAATACTCAAGAGGGAAAGAGACCCATTTCTGAGACCACACAACAAAAGGTCTACCCCTACATCCCTTTGCCTAGGTATAAAAAACGAAGAGCCCTAACTCCAGTGATTCCCAGTACCCATAAAATTCCTAGGGCATCGGGTTAAGTGGGAACATACATACACCACTAAATGCTACTCACCTGGAAGCTTGTCCACTGGAATCATTGGTGCTAAGAATCCAGGTTTCTGAGGTCCATCCTTGCCACCCCGTCTCAGCCTCAGCCTGAAGCATAAAAAGGCAGCTATCTCTCCAGCGCCATGTCTCCTCCAAGAGGATTCAGTAGCAAGGGGTGGGGAATTAGTGAAAATAATGAGGGAGAGGACAGTCAGGTGGGGAGAAGTGGTTCCAAAATCAATCAGGTTCAGCAGGATGCCTTGCAGTTGGGAGAGGATGTGGTCTCTGAGCATCAAAGCAGCTGTTGGGGGTACAGCTAAGGGACCAGTGGCCCTCACTTACCAGAGTCCCAGTACCAGGGCTCCAACAACCAGGCCAAGAAAAGAGAAGATTCCCAAAGATGCTAACACAGCCACTTGCTCCAAGGGGTCTCTGTGATCTGAGGGAAAAGACTCTGTCACTGTGAGCGCAGTGTTAGCCATGTTTGGTGCTACTGTCTCTCAGACTTTCCACCTTTACCAATCGGCTCAAACTTACCGAGCGGCCTTGGGTCTGACTGTAAGGAAGGCCTTGGAGGAGTGGGACCATCCTCCTGAGCTACTGCCTCTTGCTGCTCTTTGTGTACCTGGCTCTCATCAGCTATCTCATTCTGCAGGGGACCTGGAGGAAGATGAAACCTGAGAAATGTTCATAGAAGCTTCTGCCTTTCTAAGGCAGGAGCAGGACTAGAACCTGTTTGAAGTGGGGGTCCCCAAGGGGCAGTTTCAAAGGGTGTGGCCAGTTTCTAGGGGTCTGGCTTGTAGACTGGCAGACACATAGTCTATAAGTGCAGAAGCAGAGACTCAGAGCTAAACTTAGGACAGGGTTGCAGACCACCAAGGCTATAGCATAGGACAGCAACAGCAGTACCTGAAGGACCCTAACAAGAGGATGTGTAAAACCATCTAGCTGATAGTTTAGTTGCTTTGGGGTAAGGGCTCTGCTCTTTTCTTTGTCTTTGTCTCTCACCAGTACTAGGAGTACCCCAGGCCTCTGGGCTCCAGGCACTCCAGGTGCCAGCATCCAGGAAGTCTCTGGCACTGACTCGTACCACATGGGGTAGCCCAGCCACAGCATCTGTTATCACCTCCTCCAAGCCAATGGGTTCGACCTGAAGGTAAAAATGGTTCCTCAGTATGTGGCCCAATATGTAAGTAGAGATCCTGCCCAGCCTCTGCCAGAAAAGGGTACCCCTTTTTCACACTGCCACCCTTATCAACCAGGTAGAGGGTCTAGGTCCCATGTTGGGTGCCTGATGGGACAGAATCTATGTCTGGGATTTGGAAAATTGAAGTTTGTAGTAGTTACTTAGAGGGACTATTGTATCAGTCTGTCTATGGTCAAAACTTTGCTAACCACTTGCTGAGTGGACTTTGAACCTCTCTGTGTCTCAATTTCATTTGTAAAATAGCGGTAAATATACCCAACAGAGATAACATATGTAAAATGTGTAGCAAGGTACCTGCAGGCAGACAGCTCTGAATGCAGATCCCAGGACAGATGCCAACCTATCTTTGTCATTTATGCTTGTGGAAATTCACTATTTTCAGCTAGACATAGGAGCGTTTATATGAGGAGGGTCCTCGGGGTAAAAGATAACCCCTTTCCTGGAAGATATTATTACCTGGTGTGCGTGCGTGTACATGCATGCGTGCATGTGTGTGTGTTTGCAACCACAGCATGCATGTGGTTGTCAGAGGACAAACTCAGGAATAAGCCTTTTGCCCTCTACATTATTTGAAACAGGTCGCCATTCTCAGCGGCATAGCCAGGTTGGCTGGCCTGCCCATGAACTTCCTGGGATTCTCCTGTCTTTGCCTCCCATCTTGCCATGGGAGCACTCAGGCTACAAACTACACTGCCTCACCAGGCTTTATGTAGGTTCTGAGGATCCAAACTCAGGTCCTCATGCTTGCACAGCAACTGTTTTACACACTGAGCCATTTTTCCCAGTGTCTATAAGTGATTTTCTAAAGCCATTTCCGTTGTCACTGACAGGCTTATAGTATAGCTGGTTACCCAGAACAGAAATTCTGTCTTGCCAGCTGCAATTCCAGCACCTAGCTCGACACCTAGGAACACTATATGGGGGGAAAATCTCCTGAGACTCGCCAATGCCTGGAAGCTATGCAGAATATTCAAGATCTTAAAACCAGAACAGAACTGGAAGATCAAGATTGAGACACACTGCAGATCTCACCGTGGACCAGGCTGGATACTGCGCTGGACGGTACTGCAACCGGAACTTGAGCAGGAAGTGGGGCTGGCGGCGCCAGGAGGCAGGGTATGCCCAGCTGGCGTGCAGGCGTCTCGGGTAACCAGGTACTGATTCCACCCGCAGTCCCTGGGGTGGATCGGGACGCACTAAAGGTAGCCAGACACACGGTTCAGGGTAAGCGACAAGTGCTCATCCCTTCCTCACCACCACCCACAGTATGTGCAGTATGCACATGGTGCGAGATGTGCATGCTGTGCGTGGTGTGCGCTGTGTATGCGCAAAGGTGCTTTAGTCAGATACTCCCAGAAGGGAGGGGAGATGTCAAATTCAGTCACTCATTTAGCCTCAGGACCTGTCTGTCATCCTTGTTATAAAATAAGCAGCAATCCAATAGCAGAGTTTTGAATGTTTGACTGATAAAAGGGTTCTTCTCTCCATCCACAGAAGATTCACTGGCTCAAATCACAACCTAAGTTTTATTGCCTTCTCCCCACCCACACTCAGATTAAGAAGAAAAAGGGACCAGCAAGTCTTTCCCCTGGTCAGGAAGAGCATGAGACTGGGCTGCCTTCAGCATAGAGCCTAGAAGCAGGAGTCAGCTAGGCAGCCACAAAGGACTTGTAGGTAGTGGGTGGTAGCCGTCTCTAGACTAATGGTTCTCAACCTTCCCAATGCTGTGACCCTTTAATATGGTTCCTCGTGCTGTGGTGACCCCCAAACATAAAGTTACTTTCATTGCTACTTCATAACTGTATTTTTGCTACTACTGTGAATCATAATGTAAATATGTGGTATGCAGGATACCTGATATATGGCCCTCAACTGAGTCACAACCCACAAGTTAAGAACCACTGCTCTAGAGTATGTACAGAACCCATCCCTGTCACTACTTGGTGTTTGTGTATGAAAAGGAGAAGACTAATTGCAAGTAGGGGCAAGCAAAGTGTAAGTCTATTTAGAGTCTCTGTGATAAGAGTCTGGTAGGAGACCTATAGGATGGGTTACTCACAGATGCTCTGTAATCTCACATCCAGGAGGCACGTGCTGGCACCCAGTGGGTTCACCTCAGTCACATTGATCCGGTACTCACTCCAGAACTCTGCCCCATGGACCACACATCGGAAAGCCTCTAGAGGGTCCTGTGGGCATGGCCAAGGCCCTGCGGATGAACTTTCCCTAAGAAGAAGGATATGGTCTTGGGTTTTGCAAATAGGTCACAAGTTAGAGTTCCCAATCTCTCTCTCTCTCTCTCTCTCTCTCTCTCTCTCTCTCTCTCTCTCTCTCTCTCGTCCTACCTCTGACTCTCAGCTCCTGGCAGGGTCTTCTTTCTGATAAGAAAGGATACCATCCAAGGTCAGGAGGGAAGGAGGGCGCTTCCCCCCCACCACCTTCTCTGAGAATTTGTCAGAACTTCCCTCCCTGCCTGCCACACCCATATCATGCCAGCATGCCTAGTTGCACAGGTACACACACATACACATACCTGTAGGAAGTAAGATAGCGGGTGGGCAAACCGCTGACCTGGCTGGGACTCCAAGTACAGGAGAAGTTTTCATAGTCTACTGCTTGGCAGGAAACCTCCGGACGAGCTGGGGGAACTAGAGACAAAGGGTATAGCTAGAGACTGAGGCAGCCCTATCTCCTCCCTATCCCAGAGGGCTTGCTCAGGTCCCAGGTCCCCTTGGGAATCCAATGGCTCCACACTGCCACCTTCCCTAACACTAACTCACAGCCCAGCTTCAGGGTCACCATGCCCCCAGATACGCCATCCAGAGTCTGGCAGATGTAAGTGCCTTCATCGGTGCTGTCCACACGGGCAAAGACCAGTCTGTGTCCTAGTCCAGAGTCAGGTCCCTGCAGCGGCCTTGACTCCCCATCCCGAAACCAGGACACTGGGGTCCTGAAAGTGAGATGAAGTGATGAAACAGAAAAGAGCCTAAGTCAGGCCATGCAACTGTTCCCTGAGAGCTTCTTAGTACATGTGCAATAAACCACAACCCCATGCCTGGCCTGGTGGAGCAAGCCTATCAACTCAGGAGGCTGAAGCAGGGGGCTCATGAGTTTTAGGCCAGTCTGGGCTATATAGCAAGATCCAGACCATATTCCCAGGTACCAGAATAAATAAAGTAATAATAAGAAAGCGACTACCCAAACCCCAATTCCCTTCACTTTATAACGCCCCTTATGCTTTAGCTTTTGCCTTCTTTTCCTCCCACAGGCCACATCCTCTTCTTCTGAGGTCATCCCCACCTCAGGGCATTTTCACAAGCTGTTGCCTTTAACTTGAGCATGGCTGCTCCATTTTGACCTAGCAAGATTCTTGCGGGCTTACTGTCTGTCTTCCCTATAAGGATGAAAGCTCTTGAAGACATGCATCGTGCTGTTATCTCAGAGCCTACAACAGATCAGACACTTAGCAGGTACTCAAACATACTGGCTAGTTAACTAACATGCAGGCTGGTTAACTAATTGATGATTTCTGGTACTAGGTATCAACCCCAAGGCCTTCTATGTGCCAGACAAGCACTGTAACACCAAACTACATCCCCAACACTGGCTGAATTTTCTATTGAATAAGTATAGTTGGAGGGGTTGGACAGAGAAGCAGGAATTATAGCCAGAAGAGGCAAGTACAGGAGGGAATATGAGGTCTGGACAGGGTCAAGAAAGGGCCATGAGTATGAGATTAACAGGTAGGTGAATACTTACCCAGCATTCACTCCAGGACAGCACAGCATCACGGACCTGCCAGGCTGCCCATACTGGACCCCTGTGAATGGTCATTCCTGAGGTGAAGCCCTTCTTTTATACTCCCCTCCCATTTATGAGACTGGTAGGGTGAGGGGCAGGCTGCTAAACCCTGGGCGGGGTCATTGGGTCAAGCACGAAGTTACACTTGAGAGCTAGAGACCAGGGGACAAGATGGAGAAGGGACCCAGGTTATCAGAAATGGGGAGGGGGTGGTTCTAAATAGGCCACAGGTATGGGCCAAAGTGAGAATAGCACGCCTCCTAAGGGGGTCACAGAGTGGAATTTTCTTACCTGGAGGACCCCAGGCTTGGGGGCAGGGGGAGGAGGAAGACACCAGGGCTGTAGCCACGGCCACCAGGACCCTGCTCAGCCCTGAGCAGCTGCTGCTCATCTGTGGGGAAAAGGGAAGCTTAGGAGTTCCCCATCCATGATCCAGAAGGCTAAAGCCTGGCTCATCCTCTCCAAAACTGGGACTTCCTTAGGGAAAACTGAAGCATCAAGAGAAATGCAGCTATTGGAAATGACTGAAGACTTTAACCTGAATCCCCTTTCCCACCATATACCCAGTGCTGTAGATATCTGTGCTTTTGTGTGTGTGTCTGCATGCACACAGGAACGTGCGCATGCGAGAGCGCGCGTGCACGCGCACGCGCACACACACACACACACACACACGCACACTCATCTCAGTCCTGGGCTTAGGGCCCAGTACAAAAGCCAGAGGCAACAGGCTGTGCCAGCATCTCCCCCCTACACACACACACACACACACACACACACACACACAGACACCACTTTGGCACCCATCCCTGGCACCAAGGACTGGCACTGGCTCAACCACTCCTGTTAACCCATACAATCCAGCTGCTGGGAATTCTGGCATTCGCCTGCAACCTGACCAAGGCTAATTACTGCCTCTGGCCAACATACAGCAAATGAGACCTCATCACCCTAAGATAGGGAGCTGGCATGATGGGTCCAAATACACCCTATAATCCCTACATGGGGCCTAGCTCTGCTCTGGCTGCCAAGCCTCTGGCCTGGGCCTGGCTCTTTACACTAGTACTTGGGCCGCTCAGTTGGGCCTGGCTTGAAATCTTGTTGGTCTCAAGCCTGTGAGGCTGAAGAGAGCTAGGGTGCCGGCTAGGGCTGCAGAATTAAGCAGATCCAGATGCCCTGGCTGCTGCCAGAGGCTGAGAGCAGGCGAGGAGCCAGCAGATGGAGATGGAGTTTGGAGACAGGGTGGCGGAGGAGGGGAGCTGGGAGCCTGCAGGAGCAGGCGCCTGGGGTGGGGGCCTCCACAGCATCAAGTGGAGGAAAAGAAAAGTGCTCAGGACCAAAGGCAGTGGCTGGGGGGGGGTGTCTAAGGTCTGTAGTGGGGGCAGCAGGAACTCAAAGTGTGAGAGGTGTTCATATAGGGCAGGAGTGGAGTGCTGAGAGAAAGAATTCTGGGTTGGAGATGAGCAGCAGATTGAAGGTAGTAAAGAAGGGGCAGAGGGCAAGGCCTAAGTCAAAGTGCCAGAAGACTCCTCCTGAATAGAACAGAATGAGGCCCTCACATAACTGGACCCTGAAGGTCTCGTTGGCTCACCCCCCCACCCCAGTGTCCTCAGCCCCATTTACCCTGTTTAGCCCCACCCTACCTTGATTGTCACAGTGCCTGAGTGTCCATGGTCTCCAAGACTTCCTCCTACAGGCTACAGCATTGTCTCCTCTCCACTCAGTCCTGGGACCCCAGAGCCATCCCCTCCTGCCCACTCTCTGCCCCGCCCCCTCTGAGCCTTGAGCTTAGCCACCCCTAGCCAGGCCCCCTCCTCCCACCCCTTCCTCTTCCCTCCTCTCTCATTCCCTCCCACCCCAGGGCCTGGGAAGGGAAGAGGCCTCCCCCCTCAAGCTGGAAAAGGAAGTCAGAGACACAGCCAGGACCGGCAAGAGGGAGAGGAGGGTTGTTTCTGCTTATATCCCTGTTGCTAGAAGATTTCTTGCGCTTTCACAGAGCCATGTTTACTTAGGGACTCCCTAGGTACAGTTAACTAACACAAAGACAGTCACTTGAACACATGTGGACACAATAAAAAGAATTAACACACACACACACACTCATTCCTATTCTTTCCATTCTCCAACCAATGTTTCCTATGGGAACAGCTGGCTGTGTTTCCAGGGAAAAAATAGGCCTCACAATGGAGAATATAAGGAAAAGCCAGAGTCCAATTCCCCCCTCCCTGGAAGTTCCAGCCATTTCTATTCTCCCCCTTCTCCGTGGGGCCTCAGCACCAGGAAATGCCTTTGATCCCTTGGTGCCAGATATGCTAGAGTCACAGCTACCCTCAGACTCACATTCTTAGAGACAGTCACTCACCGTCACCCTCATGCCCTCAGCCCAGACACACTCACCACAGTCTACTAGTGACCCCACTGACACAAAGACACACGTGAGTCAGGGCTCCCTAAAAGTGACGCCCTGCCATAAGGAGCTCACAGGAGCTCCTAGCATCCTGTCTAGGTTACAAGTCCTTGTGTGGCCAGAAACAAGAGTAAACATGGAAGTCAAGCAGAGGGACACTGAGGGATAGCTTGGTGACAGAACTAGAAAAGCAGAGACAGCTGGGAGAAAAAGTTATGAAGAGATACAAATATCTCTCCAGGAAGAAAACCATGGGAACAGAGGAAGAAATGTAAAAAAAAAAAAAAAAAAAAAAAAAAAACTGAGTCAGGCATGAAAACAGAAACACCAGTAGACCAGGGGCCTAGAAATGTGCCTCACTTGGTAGAGCTTGCCTAACGTGCAAAACCCTAGGTTCGATGCCCAGTACCATATAGAAACAGATGTGCCACACCTGTAATCCCAGCAATCCAGAGGCTTAGGATATATGTTGCCCTTCTCTAATAAGAGCAGTGGACCAGCAATGGGATTTACTTTCTCAGCACTGGAGCAGGAACCCAAGCCTGGCTCACACTGAGCTGTATTCTCAGCCCGGGTCAAACACTGAGCAGAGGAAGAAAGAAAGCCAAGCACATTGGGGGGTGGGACTGTCTGTCTATGCTGCAGTCTCCCTCAACAACCGAAGTTTCCTCAAATATAAGAACACGGCTTCACTCCCACACTGTCCAGGCTAGGACACAGGGCACACAACACTCACAAGTCTCACTCTTGCTGAAGTCACACATTATCATACAAAAACCTAGCCATCCACTCTCACACTGGCGGACAAAATCTAAGACCCACAAAGCTTCCCAAACCACACTCCCTGGTCAAAGCTCCTCTAACAAACAACAAACAAAAACTGCCCACTGACAGACGCATTCCCACAGTTGCCGTGCAACAAGCAGACCTAACTACAATCAGTCTCAAATGCAGTCGCATTCCCTGACAGATACACCAGGTGACACCAGTTTCTGAGCCTCACACACTGGAGACACTGCCTCGTACTCACCCAGACACACTCATAGTCCATCAGTCACTCTCCGCCTTTCAGATCACACACCACCCTGCCCCGCCCCCTCTTGGCAGGACTTGGAAGTCGACACCCGGGTCCCAGCAGGCCTCACCTTCCGCGGCTACCGCCGCCAGCGCCCTCCACCCTCGCCCTCTGCCCCGGCCTCTTACTCCCTTATGCGAGGGCCTCCCGCAGTGGGGGCGGCTCCTCCAGGCGCCAATAGAACGAGAGAGGTGAACAGGGGGGGCTCTCGGCCCATTGGAGCCTCCAACTGCCAATCACTTCCATCTCTCCGGACACTTCCTGTCCCGTCTGGAACTTGGAGGATACCAGAGTAGGAATCCTAGGACAAAACCTGAAACTGCATTCCTCATACCTCTCGGGAAAGCATATTCTCCCAGGGACAGCAGGCCCTTTCTTCCCCTCCAAGCCGTCCACACAACCTCAGGTTGCCTACTGAACCACTGGGCAGCCGATTGCATTAGTTGAAGGTGCCCCTGACTCCAGATAAGATAGGAAAACTGAGGGTTGGTCTAGTTTTCAAATTTGCGAGTGCTGAACATTCGGGCCCCATCCCATCCAGCCTCTGTCCATTCCATCTAGATCCCAGTACTGTTTTTAAAACTCCTCAGACGATTCCAAATACAGGCAAGGTTAGGGTGTGTGTGTTTATGTGTTTTGTAAGAAACCAGCCACCAGGGAGCCCCAAGAGACGCCTACTTTGTCTGACTTCTCCCAGATCCTGGCAGTATTCCCAATCCCAGGCACCCCCTCATCCCTCCAAGGGTTCAGGAGGAATGGCCCTAAGTTAGAAGACAGAAGGAGGGAGCCACCGTTCGTTCTTCTAGGCCAGGCCCAGTCACCTGTCCTGGTTTAGTGTGACTTCTCAACCCCAAGACTCAGTTCCCACGGAAAAGAATGGAAGAAAGGCATTCTAGCCATCTCCATGACACTCACAACTCTCGACTTTGCTTTAGAGTCTGGAGAACACTACATGACATCTGGTCTCCTCCACTATCACAAGGGCAAACAGATCCAGGAAGGAGACGGTTGATTCAGTGGGGCTACCCCGGCTGTCCTCTCCATGCTTAGCACTGTTTTCTACTGTGCCTACACTGTAGCATGGGCACAGTACTGAAGCTTGAGGAAGCCAAGGACACCAAGCCACATGCACACTCCCTGCCTGCCCCTTTAGCCCCTGTGGTCTGGAGCAGAGTCTAGCTGTGGCCACTCACAAAACCAGGGTTCTGGCCAGCAGCCCAGCATCTGAACTGACCTCTGGGACTAGGATTCTGCTCACCCTCTCCCCACCAACCTTTGAGGCCTGGGCTTGGTGAACTGGCAATAATAAACTCAGTGATACAAAGGGCACTGGCCTGGCCTTCCCAAAGACTGCCAAGATAAGAATACAAGAGTTTAAAATAGTCTCCCAAATTACAATGATGTTCATATCACAAGTTAAAAGGATCAGATACAATAATGAATAGAGTCTAGAGATCAGAGGTAGTCCCCCACCCTCCATGGGGTCTCATACACATCAGAGTATCACTGAGCTATTTCCCAAGACAGTCTGAGGCAGATTTGCCTTGAATTTGCAATCCTCCTGCCTCAGCTTCCTGGGTAGCTGGGATTACAGACCTGCACCACGAGGCCCAGCTTGGCTTTGGTTTCAGAGACTAGGTCTTACTAGGTAACCCATGCTGACCTCAAATTCAGAGTCTTTCTTCAGCCTCCAGCGCAGTGGAATTACAGGCATGCATCATTGGATCTGCCTTAGGAGGGAATTCTTGCATCAGATCTTTCTTACCTACACTCTGAACATCTATCTGTAGGCAAGCTAGAGTGTTTGGAGTTACTCAGTCTTTCCCTAAGACTCCAGAAAACATGGTTAAAATTTGAAATGTAGTTTTATTGATGTCACATCTGCCCAAATTCCAGGTCCCAGTTCTCTCAGGCAAAAAGATTTAAGGCTCTGCTGTCATCATGGTCAAGCAACGGCTGCCGTTTCCTTGTCTTTCTTTGCCAGGCAGTAATGTACCTCAGGAAGCGCCCTTAGTCTCTCTGCAGCCTAGAGTGAGAAAACATGGAGAGTAAGGGTCACCCAGAATGATGTGGAGTTCTGGGCCCGGGGAAATACCGAGGAGGGCTTATGGGGTTGGAAGAGTGATGACAAGGATAGCTGGAGTCACCAGAGGATGGAGTTAAGCAGTAACCAGGTTCTTAGGAATGCATATATTTTTATGAGGATCCTCAGGGTCAGGACTGTTGGGGTCCCTTGAGAAAATGAGATGAAAGGGGCGGTGAAGACCCAGGATGCCCTGAGCCCTGACCTGTTCAGGAGTGAGATCCCGCTGAGCCTGGGCAAGCATTTCATAGCCAACCATGAATTTCCGGACAGTAGCAGAACGCAGGAGTGGGGGGTAGTAATGAGCATGTAGCTGCCAGTGGTCATAGGTGGCTCCAGTCTTTAATCCCATGGGAGCTCCTGACAAGACAAAGTCGGAAATGATTGGGAAAGCTCTTTTTCAAGTCTTCAGCCTGGCCCCTCCCCAAAACTAGTCCAGGCACCTAAATACTACAGTTCCCAGTGTTCCCCACCAAGGAGCTCAAGCATTAGTACTTGGTGACAGTTTCACCAAATTACTTCACCCTCAGTCCCAGTACCCCTGCACTGGACACTTGTGTTTTGTGGGGGGTTTTTTTTTGTTTTGATTTGGTTTGGTTTTTCAAGGCAGGGTTTCCCTGTAGCTTTGAAGACTGTCCTGGAGCTTGCTCTGTAGACTAGGCTGGCCTCAAACTAAGAGATACACCTGTCTCTGCCTCCCGAGTGCTGGGATTAAAGGCATGTACCACCACTGCCTTGCTGGACACTTGTTTTAAAGCCACCAAATGTTTTAAGGCCCGGTAGGGACTGCAGTTCCCTAAGCCAGGACCTTGAAGCCCAGAAATAGTGTTGGGGCTACTCCACCACCAAAAGCCTTACCATGCCAGCCCATGGAGTAGGGAAAAGATGTCTCAAAAAGGTTGTCATACTTGGTCAAGAGCTTCTTCATGATGGAGGCTAGATCTGGAATCAGAGTCTGACTTTCAGCCTGGGAATAGGTGCTGGCCCCATTAGGGTCATTCTATCCAGCACCCAGTCCCAGGGTCCTACCTGGGATACTTACCATCACGTTCAGCAGGGGTCAGCTCAGGTAGCCGCCGTACATGCCGGCGGGGCAGCAGTAGTGTCTGGAAAGGCCACACTGCCCAGAAAGGGACCAGGACTAGCCAGTGCTCACTAGATAGGACCAGACGTTCCTGGACACGCAAAGGAAATGAGGTGTGCATGGGACACACAAGTATCAGGAAAGCAAAAGAGAAGAATTTGAGGGACTGAGTCTTTCCATTTCTGCTACCACCCTAGTCTAAGCTACCATTATCTTCCTTTAGATGACTGCTACTAGTCCACTCCCCTTTTGTGCACTGTGAGGGTAAAAAGGCTAGAGACTCCTTGAGGATGCAGGGCCCTGCACTCTCCTACCTTCTTAAGGAGTTCTTGGCGGCCATACTCCAGTAATAGAGGCTCTCCATGCTGGCTGTGATAGCTCTGCTGGGATCGCTCTTCACGCTGGGCAATATCTGGCAGAAAACTGCTGGCCCAAACCTGTCAAGGGGCAAGAACAAAGACGAGCAGGCAAGTCCGTTATTTCTAAGCTTCCACATTTACTAATGCATTTGTTTTGTCCCATCCCTTATTCTAGTTCTGTCCACAATGTCCTCATGGACTCAGCCAAGAAAACCATTACTGCCCCTGACTACAAACTTACCTGGCAGTGGGGGTGGGGGTTAGAACAGCCCATCATGGCTCCTTTGTTTTCAAAGATCTATTGGGTATGAGTAGAGAGAGTTAATAATCAAGAAACACTGAGTCGATCCCCTCCTGACCACACCCTGTGGAAGCAGTAATGCTTCTCCCCCAAGTCAAAGGTACACTTCCTCCTCACAGACCTGCACCCAAGGGTATTGGGCACCCAGATCCTCCGTGACTGAGGCCCAGGCATCGATGACGGCTCGGATCTCAGGGACTGACATGAGCGGCAGCGTCACATCCGACCAGGGATGGAAACACATGACCTTACTAGGTGGTGAGGGAAGAAGGGATGACAGAGGGACAGGGGTTGTGTCCAAGCCCAGGTCTTAGTCTTCAACCCTGGCTGGAGTTGTTAGAGGGGAAATCCATAGTTACCAAACTCCTCTGGCGGCCTCTGCTCGAAAAAGAGGATGGTCACTGGGCCCTGCGATAAAGGAGCATTACTCTGCAGCACAAGCTCTACTGACAGATCCAGTCTCCCTTCTCCCCAACAGGTGAGACTGGGGGTACCTGGATCGGGAGCATCGGGCTGCAGAGCTGGGAAGTCATTGTCAAACAGGAAGGTGCCATCATAGTGTGGATTCACCTACTGACGAGAATAGGCTAGAAATACTACCACCTGGTGGGCTTCAAGACCTACACAAACTGCAAGGGAGTGAGGAAGGCCCACTCTAGGAATCAAAATTGCTTGACAGGGTATGACCCAAAAAAAGAGGCACACTGCTCCCTCTTGTGGGTGAAGGGCATCAATAAGGGAGAGCTATTTCCTCCTATCTCGCTCGGTGACTGTGTATTCGGGCTTACCTCCCCATTGGCTCGGGTGGCCCCGGGACACAGAGGGTTGAGTGGGTCATGGCGGGGCACTGTCTTCAGAAGCTGGGGCTCCACTTGTCCTTGCCAGGGCCGCTTCATGCGATGGGCCGACACTAACACCCACTCATCCTGGAGCGGATTGTAGCGAATATGCTGGTGTTCTGGGGACAGTCAGTAAAGATCAATCACTAAAGTTCCTTGTCTCCCTCCTTTTTCCCTGAATGGCTCTAATGCCCTAGCAAGCCCAAGCTCAGGAGCGCTGGGTCGGCCAAGTGTTTCTAGAAGCTAAAGGCTGAAGGAGAGGAGTTAAAAGGGTTAAACCCTTGCAGTGCCACATGGCCCTCGCCTGCCACCCTGGCTTCGAGTGGGAGTGCCGGCCTTGACTCTGGGACCAGAACTTCCTACGGAAAAGGAAGGCTCGGCTCCGCGCCGCAGCGGGTGCAGGCCGCCCTGCAATTACCGCTCGCCCGGAAGGTCGCTGCCATGGCGTCCGCCTCTGACGCCTGCTGGCGCTGCTCAGGATCATCTCCGTTTTGCGACATGAGACCATCCGAATTGACCAGCGGGCAGAGAGGAATGTCCGCGGGTCTAGGTTCACCCTTCTCCCCCACCCCGGTTCGCCCCGCCCTCCTTGGATGATTGGCTAGCCGCCAACACGTGATGATGGTCCGCCTGCCACTTAGGGGCGGGGCTCCGGACAGCCACACGTCTCGCCAAAGTGGTTTTGATGAGACCTGGCTCCACACCTGGTGGAGCCGCACGTCTGGAGAGCGCCTGTGAAAACTGGTTGCTGTACCCACTCGTGTGGCCACGAACTCAGCAAATTTTTACTGAGGGGAAAGGGAAATTTTCACACACGTATGTGATGACTTGATCACCCGCTGAAACCTTTCTTCCCAATAAGCCTCCCTGCTTTCACGTCCTGTTTCTTTTGTTTTGGTTTGGTTTTGTCTTTTGTGACCCACTGAGATTAGTTAGGGTTGGTTGCCTGAGTATAGGGGAGAGTATCAACTACACCACTGAAGGACGAGACGACACTGCTGCTAGCAACCTTTGACCGCCAGTAGTCCCTCAGGGAAGGCGGAGCCTCATGAATCCTTCCTCCATCTGGTATGAAATATTGATGGGCCAAATCTGAGGTTTTGTGCAGGTAATCACAGCGTCAGTGAGTTCGTGAATGCAACGACTGCGTCAAGTCCAGAAGACATTGTGTTTACCAAACATCTTAACCATGTGCCAAACACTTAGGTTCTATGTAGTGCATAGAGATGCCCTGTGCAAAGAACAGTAACATCGTGAACTCACAGTGACCCAAGTCACTTGTTCAGTGGCTGTGATAAAGAAGCAAGCTTGTTGGGTGAGGGGTGGGGACTTCTTACTATAGATGACGCCTGGCCCTTCAGTATTACCTGGAGGAGTGAGTACTTCACTGTAACTATACTACCACCCTCATCAGTAGAAAAAGGCTTGGGGGGGGGGAATTAAGTAATGGAGTGTGGGGTGTGGTGGTGTACACTTCTAATCCCAGCAATCTGGAGACTTACAAGTTCAAATTCAGCTTGCACAGTTCTACATAGTAAGACCCAATTTATAAATAAATAAAAGTAAATGAAAAGAAAGTGAATACACACACACACACACACACACACACACACACACACACACACATATGCCAGGCACAGTGGTGCATTTGCTATAGTCTCAGCTACTCCAGAAACTGAATCAGAAGACCATCCTGGCTAATATAGTGAAGACCATCTCAAAAACAGACAAAAGGTGGGACAAGGTGGCAAACACCAGCATTTGGAAGGCAGAGACAGATGGATCTCTATGAGTGTCCTGGTCTATAAAGAGAGTTCTAGACAACAAAAAAAAAAAAAAAAAAAAAAAAAAAAAAAAACAAAGGGGGAAATAAATAAATATAAAAATGTGGGGATCCCTAGATGGTCAGGTAGCCTCATTTTCTATCTCGAACGCATCATATATATTTTCTCTTTTAATGATGTATTAGTTTTATTTTATGTATGTGTTTTGCTAGCATTTATGTTTGTGCATCCTAGAACTGAAGTTACATATGGTGTGAGACATCATGTGGGTGCTGGGACTTAAACCCAGGTCCTCTGCAAGAACAACAAATGCTCTGCTCTTAACCACTGACCTATCTCTCAAGGGCCTCCACAGGCATTTTCTTACCTTTCTTTCTTTCTTTTTTTTTTTTTTTTTTTTTTTTTCAAGTCAGGGTTTCTCTGTAGCTTTGGAGCCTGTCCTGGAACTCGCTCTGTAGACCAGGCTGGCCTCAAATTCGCAGAGATTTACCTGCCTTTGTCTCCCGAGTGCTGGGACTAAAGCATGCGCCACCACCACCTGGCTCTTTCTTCCTTCCTTTCTTTCTACTTTCTTTTTGGTTTTGCAAGGCAAGGTTTCTCTGTGTAGCGGAGGTATTTTCTATAGAAAATTTGATTTTCTTTGAGGGAGCTCTTTTGGAGTTGTTGTTTTTCTTTCTAGTGAGACGGGGTCTTACATCTCCCAGACTGGCCTTGAACTCTGTGAAAGTATGAGTTTGAACCTCAGTCTCCCTGCTTCTACCTTCTGACTACTGATATTATAGGTAGGTTTCTGCAGGCTACATAGAGCCAGGCACACTGGCAGCTGAGCTACAAAAATTGGGTCATTGGTCATTGATCTCTGCCCTAGAATCCTGAGTCTGGAATCTGAAGAGACTGATAGGTAAAGGGCAGAGAGCAGGGCCTGAAATATGAGTTTTCCCAGTCCAGTGGCTGCTCAAAGCACAGCAGAGAATGAGGGCAGGAAAAGGGACATACTTTCTACCCCTTCAGCTGTCTTTCAGTGGCTACATTGTGACACAGTGGCTTCAGTGCCACTCCCCAGATCATGCCAGCTGACTCCTTACGCCCTTCAGGGACATCTCCATGCCTCTCATTGCTCTGTCTTTCCAGGCCCCCTTTGTGGGGGGGAAGAGGAGAATGGTCTAGATAGAGTCTATCTGGTCCTCTCCCTTCCAGATGCCAGCCAGATACAGGATCTCTGCTATGACATTAGAGGAATATGGCTGTCATTCATATCCCCTTAGTTCCCTCCTGGAGTCACTCAAAGGCATAGAATTTTTTATTTTTTATTTATTTTTTTATGGATTGTGTTAGAAGAGGTTTCTGAAAGGCCAGAGAGGGAAGGTGCAGGCCTGATGGTCTCAGAAAATGTTTCTGCCTGGAATGAGGGAAGGAGCCAGTTATGAAAGGGCCCTCTGGGCTCTGGGTATTGCTTGGCAGGGAAGTGGAGGTTATTACAGCAACAAAGATTACTGACCCTAACTCATATAGAAAAGAGACATGTCACTATCTATAGTACAGTTAGTACCTGAGGCTGAGAAGGTGGATAATTTATTTATTTACGAGAAACCTGGTGAAGGGATATGAAACAGGAATTTACTAGACCGGTCTCAGTGGTCTTAGAAAGTGGCCAACTTAGTAATAACATAAAAACCAGAGACTGTTAAAATATTTTTCAACTTTTCATTTGCCACTAGATTTCTCCAAACAAAATAAAGACACCATAGTCCATCTCCCCAGCCTATAATCTCAGCTGTACAACATAGGCAGACCAAGGGGCAAATGAGAACAGATTTATTAGAATGGCTTACAGGCTGTGGTCCAGCTATCTGGGTCCAAAAATCCAGGATTTGTTCAGTCCACAGGTCTGGCTGCCTCGGCTGGCCTTCAGTATACCTGGAATTCAAAGAAGTAGGCTCTAATGCCAGGGCAAGAATGGACTTGCCATTGAGAGTGAGAGCAGGCAAGCAAGTTCCTACCTTCATACTGTTTATATATGCTGCCAGCAGAAGGAATGGTCCAGATTAATGGTGTATCTTCCTACCTCAAAGATCCCAATTAGAGTAGGTCTTCTCAGTACAACTGATTTAATTAACAATAATAAATCTCTCATAGGTGTGCCCAGCATTTTGGGTTTTAATTAATTCCGCATGTAGTCAAGTTAACCAAAACTAGCCATCACAATAGGTATTCTGTAAAAATTTCCTCCTATGATTGAATATCCCATCTTGCAGGAAGCTCCTTAAGGAGGGAGATAAATAACTCAAAACAACTTCAGGAAGTTCCTGAAACCTACCGGATTCACTAGGCCCCACCCTGCCACAGTAAGCAATAAAAGCTGGGAGTCCCTCTCAGATAAAGTGAGGCTGAGCTGCAAAACTCTGGAGAGCAGACCAGTTCCCTTCCAGAAACAGAAACCAGCCAGGCTGCCTAGAAGAGGTTTGTATCAACTGAATCACTTGGAAAGGACACTATCTTCAAGCTCTACACTGTGCTTCAGGTTCCTAGCTTTTGTGAGTTGTCAGCCATGTTGGAATGGGCTTTGGTGATGCAGCTGCTGTCTTTTAGTAATTTTTGTTCCTGTAAGTAACCCAATAAAACTCATTGGGTCATCAAATTGAATTTTGGTGGTATTTGTATTTTGGTCTGCTGTGGATTCCCTGTCTGGGGTGAGTAGACTTGTTGTGCCTTGTGTCTCCCTAAGAAACATTTTATCACACAACCATAGGACTTATGTAACTGGCCAAGGATTAAAAAAAAAAAAAAAAACAAAAAAAAAAAAAACGGGTAATAGAATTTCACAATAATTATTTTTTTTAATTTTATGTGTATTGGTGTTTTACCTGCATGTATGTCAGTGTACTATGTGTGTGCAGTTCCACAGAGGTCAGAGGAGTCCGCTCCACTAGAACTGGAGTTACAAACAGTTGTGAGCCATCATGTACATGCTAGGAATCAAGCCAGGGTCCTCTGGACGATCAGCAATGCTGCTACCGAGGCATCTCTCCAGCGCCAAGATTTCACATCATTTTAGAAGCTAGATCTGGAAATGTCACACAGCACTCTGCCATTTCACTGTTCAGAACAAAATGGCATAACACAAGGCCCTACCTGACCACAGAGGAGATCACTCAAGAGCAAAAAGAGATGTCCCTGCCACATACCCTCACTGAAAAATCTAATGGCCATTCCCCATGTGCTTCTGGAATCCCTCAGTTACGTTTGACTGTAGTGCTCCTTAATTCCATCACTTCTGTGCATAAGGCTAGTTTCTTCTAGTTCCTGATGCTTTTGTCTCTGTTCTTGTTGTTGCTTTCGATACGGTCTCCTGTGACCTATGCTGATTCTGTAGCTAAGGGAGACCTTGAACAAATGATCCTTGTACCTTTACTTCCCAAGTTCTAGGATTTGTGTGCCACTACTCTCAGCTTTATATTGTCTTCTTCCAACTAACATCTATAATCCTAACCATGTGCCAGGCACTCGCTACTTTAAAAATAGTAATTCACTTAATAACCATCACAATAAAGGTATGGACTACGAAGCAGATGCTTTTTATTTATTTATTTATTTATTTTGTGTTACAGATAGAGCTGTCAATATATGCTCTTAAATGCTGAGACATGTGAGCAGCACCCAGAGTTAATTTGTTTTCTGAAACAAGCTCTCACTAGGTAGCAGCACTGACAAATGGGGTTTCTTTCTTGTACCCTAGTCCAATTTTGCTCCCCTCCAAATGTAACCCAGTACCATTCTGTGGCAATATGGAATTCCATGGCTCCCCAGGGGATAAACCTATTGGTTTACAAGGCCTTCCACATTTTTATGCTTCAGAACATGGAGTGAACTGTAGGCTCAGAGAAAAATAAGCACTGTAGTGCACACCTTTAATCCCATTACTGGAAAGGCAGAGGCAAGAGGCTCTCTATGAATTCAAGGTCAGCCTAGTCTATATAGTTCCAGGCCAGCTAAGGCTACATAGTGAGACCCTGTTTTGCCCTTCCGCTCTTGGACTATTGGAATGATTCCCATCAGCTGCAATGTCCTTCTCTCTCTCATAATCACTTCGAATGTCACCACCCCGGAAGACACTATCTCCTCCCTTCTTCTTTGCTAGCCATCACGAGTCCTAGAAATCTCTATCTACTTCTGCGATTGCCAGCCCAGGTGGGTGACTCCATTCTGGGACTTCCGCAGCTCTTACAGAGCATAGTGCTAAAGGACTCCAGGATTAAACACTCTAGGGCAGCTCGGCCCCGCCCCCTCACCTCCCGTATGGATCGCGCTACCCAACCCTTGCTCTCCCCGTTATAAAATGGTTCAATCCAGAGGGCGGTGCTTAGTGCCCCGAACGTTTCGATTGGCCCCGGCGAGCCGTACCACGGGGGCGACCGTGGGCAGCGGCTTTTGAGTCTGTGTGTGCATAACCTGAGGCCCTATCTCTGTCCTACGCTGGTGGTGCCAGGCTGCCCGCCGGGATGCAGTGGGCCGTGGGCCGGCGGTGGGCATGGATCGCCCTATTTCTGGCTGTCGCCGCGGTGCTTACCCAGGCGGTTTGGCTGTGGCTGGGTACTCAGAGCTTCGTCTTCCAGCGAGAAGAGATAGCGCAGCTTGCTCGACAGTACGCTGGTGAGCGGGTGAGCGGGTGAGGGCGGGGAGCGGGATGGGCCGGCGCAGAGCGGAGCAGACCTGCGTTTCCCGAAGGCGCCTTCCCCGCCGAGCCCCGATAGAGGGCTGGTCTCACCCACGCCACTCCTCTTTCCATCAGGACTGGACCATGAGCTGGCCTTCTCTCGGCTGATCGTGGAGCTGCGGAGGCTGCACCCAGGCCATGTGCTGCCGGATGAGGAGCTGCAGTGGGTGTTTGTGAACGCGGGTGGCTGGATGGGCGCCATGTGCCTTCTGCACGCCTCGCTGTCTGAGTACGTGCTGCTCTTCGGCACCGCCCTGGGCTCCCGTGGTCATTCGGGTCAGTGCTGGCGGTGGGCCGGATTGGGAGGCTGGGGCTGTTCGAGGTCTGATGCCTGCCCTCTATTCTGAGGTTTGGCTGGGCCGTGTGGTTGACAAGGATACCCTGATGGGCGGTGTCTATTTTATTGTCACTCAGGGCGATACTGGGCTGAGATTTCTGACACCATCATCTCAGGCACTTTCCACCAGTGGAGAGAGGGCACCACGAAAAGTGAGGTCTTCTACCCAGGTAAGTAAGGAAGTTATGTCCGAAGGGCTAGGGACAGGCCTAAGACAAGGAAAGGACGTATTGAAAAGGCCAACCAAGTGATTTTCTTCCGTCTCGCCCCTAAACCACAGGTGTTTGGTTAGGTTAGAGCTGAGGAACCCTGTCGCTTTCATTGGTTAAAGGGAAACAAAACAAGGCAGTTTCTCATCATGCAGAGCTGAATTTTATCAGCCTGTTTTACCCAGCCATTATTCCAGCAATTATTTGGAAGATACTCATGTCTGAAAGTTAAGACAGACATTCCATTTCCCATCCTTTTTAAACTAGTGAGACATTTTGTAAGTTTTGGTGTTGTTTTTCAAACTTCTTTCTTTCGAGACAGGGTTTCTCTGTGTAACAGTTCTGGCTGTCCTAGAACTCGCACTGTAGACCAGGCTGGCCTCAAACTAACAGAGATCCTTCTGCCTCTGCCTCCCGAGAGCTAGGAGTAAAGGCATGTGCCACCACCTATTGTTTTTTAAGTGGACCTCTGCATTCATTTAAAAGGAAAGGTTTGGACTTGCTGGTGTAAGGATAATAGTCAAGCGTAAGCCTGGCTTAAGCCACACCCTCTGTCAAATTAGTCCAGCTCGGATTAGCAACATTTCCACTTGTTTTGAGTGAAGCTTGAGAATGCAGATGCCCATTGCTTCCATAGATTAGCCTGTAGCTGGGTGGGGATAGCCCTCCATAGTCTCCCCCAAAAGAGGACATGGGCCAGGTAATGTCATAGGACATTTAGGAGTGGGTGTTTTTGGCCTCTATTTCCCCTCTGACTGGACAGCCAGGCCAACGGGGTATAGTTTTTTCCTTTCTTGAAATTGTCTTTTCATTGCCCACCTCTACATAGATAGTGCATAGGCTAGGGAAATGTAATGCTAGGAGGCCACGGCAGAGCTGGGCTTCTCACAACATGATCCCTGTCTACCCCCAAGGAGAGACAGTTGTACACGGACCTGGAGAGGCAACAGCTGTGGAGTGGGGACCAAACACGTGGATGGTGGAGTACGGCCGAGGTGTCATTCCATCTACCTTGGCATTTGCACTGGCTGACACTGTCTTCAGCACCCAGGACTTCCTCACCCTCTTCTATACCCTTCGCTCCTACGCCCGGGGCCTTCGGCTTGAGCTCACTACCTACCTCTTTGGCCAAGACCCCTGACCAGCCAGGCCTGAAGGAAGACCTGTGGATGGACAGGAGCGGGCAGGACCACATTCATCTACTTGCTGGAACTCATGTGCACAGACAGCAGCATACACCATGCAGATATTAAGTTCCCACTGTATGAGGAAGGGCATACATAGTTATACATCCAAACACAGCTCTTTGGGAGCAAATGAGACACATAGAGATGCCAAAATTTGTACTGTAAGATCATGCACTCATATCCATCCAGAGAGAGCCCCTACATATATACCAGAGGGAGCCAGTCATGTTTGAACATCCATCACAAACTTGACTCACTGACTCAGGCTTTTCCAGAGCTTGCTGCTGGCATTTAGGGGTCTGGGATTAAGGATTGGGGTGGATGTTCCATTCTGCCTCACTCTGATGCCTCAGTCCAGTAGGGATCTCAGTGAAGGAAAAGTGGACCTGCCCTTGGGAGGTGCCCTTCACCTGCAGCCATAATGTTCTTCCCTTCATGTCCCTTTTCCTCACCATATGCCTTATCTCCATTCCACCCCCTGCTATGCAAGTGCCCCTGTGGCTTGTCCTCCATGCCCTCAGCAACCAACTTGGCTGGGAAAGCAGAAGAATGTATGGAATGCTAAAGGGAGTGCCTCCATCTCAGAGACCCCTATTGGGCTTAAGCCCAGGCCTGTCCCCAAGGAGAGGGCTTGGAGAAGGAAACTTGGGTCCAAGGAGCCACCCTAGTCCAAAAGAAACCCTTATGTGCACACCCCTCTGTTTCCAGACATTTCTGTTGCATTCTCTGTCTACCTGTCTGTCTCTGGTAATAAAAGTTTGTTAAACAGTTCCATTTCCTTGTGTGTGTGAACAGCGGGAAGGCCACTGCCTCCTGGACACTTCAAAAGGCCTGTGCAATCCAGTGTGTAAGACTAGTTTTGGACAGAAGGGACTATATATTTGACTGTGTTCAAGAATTACTTAGGATGTCAGGCACGTGTGGTAGCACACGCCTTTAATCCCAGCACTTGGGAGGCAAAGACAGGAGGATCTCAGTGAGTTACATGTCAGCCTCGTCTGCAGAGCCTAGGGCTGCTGCACAGAGCAACCCTGTCTTGAAAAACCAAACAAAAATTAAATAGGAATTACTTAGGAGTCAGCCTTTTTAGGAGTGGTGGTATTGGAGCAAGGACAGTCTTGGCTGTCCTGGAAATCAATCTGCCTGCTTTTGTCTTCTGAGTGCTGGGACTAAGGGTGGACACCACCACATAGCTTTTTTTTTAAATCTTAAGACTGGCATTGAATTTACTATATGAAGCTGGAATTAAACGTGGAACTTCTGATCCTCCTGCCTCTGCTTCCTGGGCCTGAGGATTAGGGCCAGAGCTTTGTGCATGCTTGGCAAGCACGGTTCTAACCACAACCCTAGTCTCTAGCTAACTGGATTGCATCTATAGAGATCATTTTTTAAATATGAGGAACTGAGACCGTGTGAGGTACTGTGTCTACTCTGTCAGTTCAGTCCTGTCCTGGGGATGGTTCTGAGGAATTAACCATACACGGCCATGGGGTGGCACTATACTCCCACATCTATGCTTAAACGCAATCTAGGCTGGCTTTTGGGGCTCCTAGAGTATGGAGTGCAACTCTGTGGAATGAGAGTTCCTCTGTTCTGATTTGCCTTTTATTCAGCACTTTAGGGGAGCTCTTGTGGGGTGGGAATCAGGCACGATGCACAGGCCGACAGGGTCAAATGACATCATTTCTAAGGACGTTTGTGGCTTCTTTTGTACCCTGGTCACCAAGCTCCTGTCATCTTCATCCTGCTCCTACTAAGGTTGAATAAGGTCCAGACCTCTACCATTTCTTGGACTTGATAACTTGATAAATTAGTATCGGAAGGAGCAAGGTTATATAGTTATCGTTCTAGAGAACACAAATTCAAAAGGCTACATGCATAACCTTATTTGACAATAACATCAAATTCTAGTCAGGCGTAGTGGCTCATGCCTATAATCTCAGCATTTGTGAGACAGATGCAGGAAGAGCTGTGCAAATTCCATGCCAGCCTGAACTATAAGATGAGACCCTGTCTCAACAACAGAAAGCATCAACAATTTAAATGTGTGCCTCTGAAAGAATGTGAAACTCAGGCAAATTGGCCTGATACCTTCCCCCCAGCCCCCTCTGCCATCATATTGGCTGTGGCAAACCCTGGCTGAAACTTCTCTCTTGATCTTTAGGGAACTTGCCCTACATGGTACCCAGCTCTGACTCTAGTCTAGGAGCACATGTATCTCAGCCCATCGTCACCCATCTTATAAGGGACTATTGCCCCCCATCTCTGTTGTTAAAGCCAGTGGTTATTTCATAGTTCTTAACTTTTGCAGTTGATACTGTGTTCAAATCCAAAGTTGTACACACTAAGCACAACTGAGCTACTCTCCTAGATCTCAACTGTTTTGAAAGCCCTAAAAAAATTTGGCTTCAAGGACACTTTTTTTTTTTTTTGAAACAAGTTTTCTCTGTAGACCAGGCTGGCCTCAAATTCACAAAGATCTGCCTGCCTCTGCCTCCTGTGTGCTGGGATTAAAAGTGTCTGTCACCACTGCTCAGTCATTTTTTTTTTCTTTATTGATAGTTTTTTCTGTATTTACAGATCTTTATCTCTTTGTAACAGGGCTGAAAAGATGGCTCAGTAACTAAATGTCCATGCTGCACAGTGTGAAGACCTGAGTTCAGATCCTAGCACTGGTGTAAAAAGCTGGGCATAGTCATCCATGTGCCTGTAACCCCAGTGATGTGAGCACTGTAGACAGGGCAGTTGCTGGGGTTTGCTGGTCCATAGCCTACTTCCAGTGAAGCACCCTGTCTCGAGGGAAAGGGACACAAAGTGGGCAGGACCCCTGTGTCGTCTTCTAGCTTCAGCACAGATGCACATAACATACACTCAAAATAAATAACATGTACCTCTCTTTTTTTTCTGTTTTCTTTTAATTCTTCTCTCATGCAATACACCTGACACCAGTTTCCCCTCCCTCCACTCCTCCCAGTCCCGTCCCCTCAACCTTCCCTCTCCCCCAGATCCACTCCTCTGCTTCCCTTCAGAAAAGAGCAGGCCTCCCAGGATATCAACCAACACAGCATAACAAGGCTGGGGACAAACCCTCATATCAAGGCGTGACTGGACAACCTCGTAGAAGAAAAAGAGTCCCAAGAGCAGGCAAAAGAATCAGAGATACCCCCCTTCCCACTGTTAAAGAGACTCACAAGAACACCAAGCTACACAGCCATAACCTGTGTGCAGAGGACCTAGCTCAGTCCCATGCAGGCTCATAATTGTCACTTCAGTCTCTGTGAACCTCTAGGAGCCCTGCTCAGTTGATTCTGTGGGCCATGTTATCTTGGTGCCCTTAGCCCCTCTGGCTCCTATAACCCTTCCTGCCTCTTTTCTGAGGGTTCCCAGAGCTACATCTATATTTTGACTACTGTATCTGTGTTAGCCTAAGTCTCTTCCCTGAGCTTCAGCTCTGGATGTCTTTCTGTCTTCACTCCGCATCTCTTCTTGGTTGTTTAATTGATGTCTCTAGCTTATAATGTCCACAGCAAACTGATTATCCTCCTGCCTCAGCTGGGATTACGTACCTGTGCTCACCAGACCCAGCTCTAATTACATACCTCTATCTGATCCAGTTTACATTTCCTCCACTAGAATAATGCCATGTCACAATGACACTGTTTTATTCAGGTCTGTGCCCAACAGTGCCCGCTGCAAAGCACTCAATAAATGTGTGCTGGGTTCTGAAGGTCTAGGTCATTTTGTTGTGTCTCTGAGGTATAGGAAGTCTGTATGTAGTGAGGTAAGAGGCAGTCTTTCCTTTAAAACCAGATCCAGTTTGCCTTATTCCTCTCCTTCACTCCTTCCTAGTTGTAGTTTTTCTGGCCCAAATTCCAGAGGTAGAATTTTTGCTTGATTGCTCGTATTTGGGGAGGGGATAACCATCCCCATTCCTCCCTCCCACCAAGACCTACAAAAAGTCATCTCCAGCCTCTCAGAACTGGAATTTCTCCCTCCAGATGCCGCTAAAGCAGCCAGTGAAAGCTAGGAGAGAAAGGAGCAAACTGGAGTCCCTTTACCCTCCAGTCATCCACAGCAACTCAGGCTGTGACCAGCTGTCCCTGTTCATCCACTAATCCTACTAATGCACCCCTCTGTGAGCCTAACATGGTGGGGTGTGGGAGCTCTGCAGGGGAGAGTACATCCTCAGACATTCATGAGCATGGGGTGAGGAAGTCTCAATACTGAAGATGAGGGATGACCAAGGATTGGAGCTGTTGGAATGGGATTCTTCTGACCAGCTATGAGCTCTGCTATGTGTTGGGAAAGACACACAGTCCTGCCCAAGGAATGAATGGGCTGAGCCCCAGCATGGCCAGGGGTGGCCAGAGAGAGCAAATACTCAAGATGCTGCAGCAGGAGCTGGATTTCAGAACATGGTGGAGGATAGATGTGGGTGAACAGGGGTGGCACCAGAATGGGTGACCTGGGGCCAGGGCAAGCTGAAGTAAGAGGAGGATGAGCGGGGAGACAAAGGTCATGCCCATATTCCTGCCATGTAGGGATATGTTTGTCCTGAGGCATTTGTGCCCCGATGGGTGCAAAGTCTGAGGGTAGGGTCTGGCATAGTTACATAGCCATTCAGAGGTCACCCTTACAGACATCTGCTACTCACCTAGCTCATGGCAAACTCGTGCCTTTAGCAGGTAAGTCTCCTTGACCACAAAAAGAAGCTCAGAATGTGTGAGGGTCCCTGAAAGGAATAGGGTCAGTCTACTCAGATGAGAAACGGTGACCTGCCAGTCAGGACTCCCCAAGCAGAAACAGCATCAGAGAATCGGTGGGGTAAGAGAGACCCATGGCAGTTGGCTCAAGGGATCCGGACATATAGATTTGGGAGTCAGGAACACATGAGTGGAGAATGTGTGTGAAGATGGGCAAACTGATGATCACGAGAATAAAACAGATAGTGAGAAGCCAAGAGTCATTATACTCTTGCTCTTCTATACAAGCTTGGAAATCCAGAAGAGAATGTCAAATGAGGTTTTTAAAAAGTGTGTATGCCTGTATATCTCATTTGGTGTATATCCTGATATGAGTGCACAGACAACACAGAGACCTGTGAGTGTGTAAGTGCACAGATACGGGGCCACTGGCGTGTGCATACCTCTATACAAACACACTTGCGCTTGGAGATAACACATGGGCAGGGCACAAGGCGAAGCTATGTTCTGGCCAGGTGTTCCACATTCACCCCAGCATCGGGCAGAATGATTCTGTGTCATCACAGGTTGCCCAGGTCCTTGACCCCTTTAGAGACCTTTAAACGGAGTGTGTAAGACTGGGCTTGAATTTGTGTCAAGGCACATTACTGTGTGAACGGAGGGCACTAAGTGTGGTTTGGGGGATACTTGTGAGGCTGGGCAGAGCTATAGGCCGGAGTTTACCAGCTGTGGACTCCTCACTCTCCCACGCGTGATCTCCCCATAGCTCTCCGGCGCCCCCTCCCTTGAGTTTGGCTGTAAGGAAGGTGGGAGACACCTGTTGGGGGCTAAGAGGGGTCGAGCCCACCCTGGCCTCTCCCGCTGCGTCCTCCCGCCAGCGCCCGCCCTGCTGGGCTCGGGTCCCGCCCCCGGGACCGCAGGCAGCACAGCCACCGCCAGTAAGCGCACCGCGGTCAGAAGAGCGCAAGGCGGCAGGAGCGCACAGCGGGGACCCTGTGCAGGGAACCCAGCTGAAACAGGAACCGCCCGAAAGGCGACCGAGCAGAGGCACCGCCGTGGAGACCCCGGGGGCTTCGGGCGGTGCCAGGCAGGTGAGTGTAGCTGCAGAGCGCCCAGAGCCCGGGATCCAGGCGCAGTGACCTGCCACCTCACGCCTGTCTGGTCCTGTCCCGGTCCCAGACCCAGGCACTGCTGCCCTCTTCCCGCACCTCTTTGGTTCTTGATTCTTATCTTTTATCTTTCCACCCTGTTTTCTGTCACTGTCCTCTATGTTCTCACTCTTTCTAGTCTTTCTCCTGCTGCTGCGTCGGTCTTCCCGCGTCTCTCAATCCTTCTAGCTGTCTTTCAGTTGTCTGTCCCTCACTCTTAGGTATTTTATCTCCTGGTACTCACTCTCTCTCTCTCTCTCTCTCTCTCTCTCTCTCTCTCTCTCTCTCTCTCTCTTCCTCCGTCCATCCCTTCCTCCCTCCCTCCATCCCTCTCTTTCTTGGTCCTCCTCAGTCTTCCCACCCGTCTCTCCTCCATCTCTGTCTCCGCATCTCTCTGTCATTGTCTCTGTGTGTACGTGTCTGTATGTCACATCTCCCTGCACCACTCTTCCTTGGTCCTTGTTACTCTTTCCAATTTGCTTGGCCTCGTCCTATCTTGAGTCTCTGGCCATTTCTGACTCCCTAGGTCTGGTCTCTTGACTCCTTTGCTCCCTCTATCCCTCTATCCCTGTTCACTTGATCTATTTGCCCTTTCCTTAGAACTCCATGTATGTCCCTGAATCCATGCGCATCTCCCCTTGTGCTGTAGGGTGTGGGTGCAGCAAGGTCCAGCACCCATAATTCCCTTCCCCCACAGACGGCCCTTTCCTCAGGGCCCAGCCTGGTACCAGGAGCCCCCCCAGCAGGGGGACTGCGCCTGGAAGCTGTAATGGAGGCCCTGCAGAGGCAGCAAGCAGCACGGCTGGCCCAAGGGGTGGGGCCTTTGGCCCCTCCACGCCTACCGCTTCCACAGCCTCCTCTGCTTGGCGCCCGGACCCTACAGGCTGAGGGGGCCTTGGGGGTGGTTAGGGCTGAAGAAGTGGAGGGTGCTGAAGAAGATGAGGAGGGAGAGGCACCCTTAGCAGAAGAGGAGGCAGATGAGGAGAGCCATCCAGGAGCCCGGTGTCCCAACTCACCTTCCAACCAGCCCCCTGGACTCCAACCACATGAGTGGACCTATGAAGAACAGTTCAAGCAGGTAGGAACCGTCTCTCCATCTCTGTCAGGCTGTCCCTCCTTCCTCCCCTCTGGCAAAAGTAGTCCACACATCCCTACCAGCCTCTGCAGGATGTAAAAACAGAGAAGACAGGAGGATAGATAGTGATGAGCCAGGAGAGACACTCATGGAAACATGTGCAAAGTGCACATAATTCATTAAGAGGTATAGAAGATCCCAGAAACATGGGGAGTGACGGTTGGAGGTCATTTGAGGAGTTTGAAATGGAGGTAGAATGGATAAGGTAAGGGCCTTTTGGAGATCTGGAGTCTGAGGAATTCATGGCAACATTACCTCATCTACTCTCTCACATAACAAGTACCAAAGGGAATGTCTTGGGCTGTCTGTCTACTGTCATTGGAAGGAGAACAGAGTTTGTTCCTCTTCTTGTAGACTGATATACCCATCTTCTTTCCTGCCACACTGTTTTACCATCCAGTTTTTCCCTCTGGCCTAAATTCCACCAATGCCAGTTTCCAGCTTGTGCTGGTCACTTCAGCTGCTGTAACTGAGGGCCCCTGTGCAACCTGGGCACTACACGTCTTTACGACCTTAATCCGAACCCTTCCAGTGTTATTCTAGGGACAGTAGTATGGGCTGTCACCATGGTGTTACTGAGGGCTGTGATTTCCATGTGTGCCACTCTAGAGGTGTTACTCATAGGGTGTTGGTTTGGGGTATTTTCTAGAAGTGCTAATTTGTAGCTAGTATTCTGTGACATTAGTGTAAGACCAGGAGCGTCACTCAGGGCTTTGTTACCCTGGAGATTCGGCTCTAGTGTCTGTTTTTCTAGGGCATTGTTCTAGGTTTATGACTGAGAGAGTGTGGGTGTCATTGTAGTTACATGTGAGGCTTAGAACTCTGGGTCATGTGTGTGTGGTTCTGAAGCTGGGTCTCTTGGGTTTGATGCTCCTGGGAGGATTTGATTTGGAGAGTTATTATTGATGGATGGAATGTTACTTATGTGTGTGATTCATAGCAAGTTCAGGCTGAGAAGCTGTAACTCTGGGTCAACGACTCCATTACTCGAATTGTTTGGTTTAGACTTGGGTTGATGTTGGAGGTGGTGATGACCAGTAGATTCTTTACGTTCTGACATCTTAGGTTCTGTGTGTCATGTGGCCATGACATGTGTCACGTGATAGCTTTTGTAGTAGGCACAGTACCCACCTCTAGAAGGAGATGAGACAAGATGGTGCCCATAAGGAGTTCCCCAGCATCCTTACTACCTGAACTCACTCACCCTAGTTCATATCCTGGCCCACAAGGATATGAACTGCATGAAGCCCTTATACAGATTAAGGGTAATGAATAAGTACCTCAGATATTCGTCAGTCTCCTGGTTGTGGAGCATGGCCCCAGCATGGTTTCCCTCCTGGGACTCTGGATGTCCCTCCTCAGGATGGTTAGGATTCTGTCCTGAAGAGCAGGCTGAGCCACTGAAGTACCTTCCTGCCACCCCGTTTTTGCCAGATGCAAGGTTTAAGCCACCTAAGGTACCAACCACTAGCTAAGATAGGTTTCTTGAATGTATTAGATGAAGGCACTCTGTCTGCTCTGCGGGTGGGTCTACGGCCAGAGAATTCACATCTAGAATCCATCCACCCTTTCACCCAGCACTCTCATCCAGGGTACCACCTGAATTGGGGTTCCAGGAGGGAGGGGGCCAGTGGCGCTGGAGAATGACCTTGGTCCTTCCCCAGCTGTATGAACTCGATGCGGACCCCAAGAGGAAGGAATTTCTGGATGACCTGTTTAGCTTCATGCAGAAGAGGGGTGAGTAAAGTGATGTGGGGAAGTACCCTGGAATTTCTCCTGTTGACTGGGTTTCGAGGAAAGGAGACCTCAAGGGGCAGTCCTCACGGGAGGTCCTCCCTGCAGAGGTCCAGGGTTGGTGGCTCCTGTCCTTTGGGCTCTCAATAGCATCTTTAACCTCTGACCCTGACCCCCTTCTCCACCAGGGATTAATTAGTGCCCAGCCCACAGGCAGGTTAATGAGTGTGAGATCAATTAGGAAGGGGGGGAGGACTGGTCAGGACTGGCTTGAAATAGGAGGGTCCCAGGACTTAGGACCAACCAGAATCCTTGATCCTCGGTTGCATACAGTATACCCTTCCCCCAGCCTTATCTTTCTACTCCATTTCCTTTTGCTTTATCCCAGGGCACTCCCTATCTTTTCTGCAGCAGGAAGGAATAGGATTAGACTGAAGGAAGGCTTTCCCAAAGGATGTGCTGGGGCCATGTGAATTGGGCAGTGGAGAAGGAATTCCTCTCCAGAAAATCTCAGTGTTGGAAGAATATAGAAGGGGTCTGGGAGGGATGAGGGTGGGCAGCAGTCCATCACTTCCGCTTTCTCCCCAGATTCACGGGACTGAACACTGACTCATTATCTCTCTCTACAAAGCTAATTAACTCACTCAGAGCACAGCCTGATAAGCTGCTAATTAACTGGCTGCACTGCCCCCCTCCTAGTCTCCCCAGTCCTCAACCCAACGCTCAGCAACCTTTTCTGGTCCCTTCCTAACTAAGAGCCATGTGTGAGGACCCCAGGCTTTCTTGTTCCCTAGTAGCCCTAGTGTTCCCTCCCTGCACCTTTTGGGGGACCTCTCTCCTAGTAATGGGGTGGTGTGGTCTGACAGCACTGCCCACACCCCGAGCTCTGCCTCCCTCGGCTCAGCTGCAGGGGGAGGAGGTCTCGCGGGGCCGATAATTTCCCCCCATTAATCAGGCCGCAGCTAATTGTTCGGGTCCAAAGGCACTGGTGGAAGGGGCTGGGGATCGGTAAGGAATTAACTGGGTCCCATCGCTCAGCTCAGACAGGCCCCTTTGTCAGGACTGGCTGGCGGGGGTGGCTAGGCTGAGGAGTTGACTGACCCAGGAAGGAGCAGATTCTTCTGCACCTGCTGTCCCCTGGCTTCCTGCAGCATCTGAGGGTTGTTGCTTTGGCGAGTATACCTCTTCAGTACATATGCAAGTCCTTCCTACAGTCAGCCCAGCAAACCCATGTTTTCAGACCAAATCCATCTGTCTGGTAGATTAGAATGGCTGAATGGCTTTTCTTTTCTTTCTTTCTTTTTTCCTCCCCCCCCCCTTCGTATTTGGAAAATAGCGTTAAAATAGGCAAAACATTTACGGGCTGTGCAATTCTAATTTCAGAGCCTGTGAATAAAAGTTGATTGGAGCACACAGCCTTGCCCATCCTCTTAGATGGAGGACTGTTCTCTGGATAAACTGCAGAGTTGGGTATTTGTGACAGGTACCCTTTGGCCCACAAAGTCTAAATATTTACCTTCTGTCCCTTACAGGACAACTAAACTGATTTCTTGTCTTAGTCTCCTGTCCTTCTCCTACATAGGGTTCTGACTGTAATCCTATCACTCCCCCACAATCCTTTTGTGGGTCCTGTCCTTACCCAAGCTTCGTGGAGATACCCTTCAGTCGGCTTAGGTGACCTCAGATGAGGCCTAATGTTGGTATCCTGATTTTCTACCCACTTCACACCAGGAACGCCAGTGAACCGGGTTCCCATCATGGCCAAACAGGTGCTGGACCTGTATGCGTTGTTTCGCTTGGTGACAGCCAAGGGTGGCCTGGTGGAAGTCATCAACCGAAAAGTGTGGCGAGAAGTCACACGCGGCCTCAGTTTGCCAACCACCATCACCTCTGCAGCCTTCACACTACGCACCCAGTGAGGACAGCAGAGGGCACGGGCACAGGGGCAGAGCAAGAGGGCCTGGGTGGAGCGGGGGAGTGAAGCGCGGGATGGGGGTGGGACGATCCGCTGGGTCCAGCCTCCCACCGCCCATCCGTCTGCCCCTAGGTACATGAAGTATTTATACCCATACGAGTGCGAGACGCGGGCACTCAGTTCCCCAGGGGAGCTCCAGGCTGCCATAGACAGCAATCGGCGCGAGGGCCGTCGCCAAGCTTACACCACGGTCCCGCTCTTCAGCTTAGCAGGGCCGACACCTCGGGGAGCTCCTGGCCCCGCCTCGGGTCATGGCCCCGCCCCGGCCTCGACCCCGGGCTGCCTCGGTCCCGCCCAGGGTTCTGCTGCTGGCTTGCCTGTGCACGCGTGCGCTCAACTGAGCCCGAGCCCTGTAAAGAAAGGTGCGAGGGGAGAAGGCAGAGTTTGGGGGATGTCATCTCTGAGATCTGTGCAAGCACTGAAACACGGAATATCAAAATATAGGGACTCAAGTGTGGGAAGCAAAGATCTGATGGGGTAGAAGGTTTTGGAATCTCTAAGTTAGAGATTCTGAGCCTTGAGGTCAAGAAAGCCATGAGACCCGTGGGGTCCTCCATTCACAGCAGCTTTATTCCACAGCCGTCCACATAGAGCGCCCATTTGGCTATAGTTTGCTACTCCCGTGTCTTGGGTTATTTAACCAAAAAAAAAAAAAAAAAAAAAAAAAAAAAGGGAAAGGAGAGCTTGCACATTCTCTGACATAAAACCAACCTGGACCAATGTGCTGGTCTTTTATTCTCCACCATTTTCAGAGCCCCTGGATGGAAGGACAGACTGAGCCTGTTTATCAGCCTGCATGCCCTTTTTTGGTCCCAGGCCTAGGGAAGAATCACAGGTTGGTTGGGCCAGAGGAGCCTAGTGACCTGTTTGGTTTTTCTCTCTCTTCCCCCCCCCCCCAGAGGAGACCGGGGTTCCACCTCCTCGTCTGACAGTGCCTGTGGGCTTAGCCTTGGAGGCAGCACGGGAAAAGCTGGCACCAGAAGAGCCTCCAGAGAAGAGGGCTGTGCTGATGGGCCCCATGGACCCACCTCGACTGAGTGCACCCTCCAGTTTCCTACCCCGTGGCAAGGTTCCTCTAAGGGGTGAGGAAGGGCTTGTTAGTGAAGGACTTTGGGCTTCTGTGCCGAGGGAAGACAGACTTCATCTGATGGATGTTGGAGGTGGTACAGATAGATCCTTATATGGACAGCCACATAGTCCTGGTATGGGGTTCAAGTGAAATGGGGGCTATCTGTAGGAATAAGGGAGGAGTGAAATCTGATTGGCCCCAATGTGACTCCCCTGCCTTCTTTTGGACAGAAGAGCGATTGGATGGGCCCCTCAATCTGGCAGGCAGTGGTATCAGCAGTATCAACATGGCACTGGAGATCAATGGGGTGGTCTACACTGGTATGGGCACTATAGGCTGTCTACACTGGCATGAAGTTGGGATTTAGACTGGCATGAGGATTATAGATTTTCTCTACCAGCATGGGTTGAAAGGTATCTGAACTTGCATGGGGAGTCAGAGGATTGTTACACTAAAATGGGTTAAAGAGCATTTCTACATGGCATGGGGTCCCAGCATGATCTCTGCGGTATGATTGTCATGGGATGTCTGCTTTTTCATGGGTCTCTGTGTTAGTATTTATTCTGTACCCACGTGAGGGTATCAACATTGCCATAGGAGCTTCTCACTGACCAGACTTGTCACCGTACTGTGTGGCATGGGATGTGTGTGGTTGCTCAGCATTTTTGTTTTGGGTCCCGCCCTCTCCTGTTTAGGTATCCTCTTTGCCCGCCGCCAGCCTGTGCCAGCTTCCTTGGGTCCAACCAATCCTCCACCTCCACCCTCTACAGGGCCTCCTTCCAGCACCTTGCCCTGAAGGCAGCTATTGAGAATTAAGAGTCTCAATATCATTGCAGGGGAGAGAAGGTGCCCTCCCACCTTGATTCTTTCAGGATGTGATGCCCCCTCTGGGATCCAGTTCTGGGAGATGACAGCATGCCACCTCCACACCAAAGGGATTTCTTGTTTATGTTCTACCTACCTCATTGTAAAAGGAGGCCCCCACCTCCATACCAAAGAGTTCTTCCCTCAGTAACCCCTGTCATCTCCTCATGTGACCTCTATGTCAATGTCATCTTTGGTACCCCACCTCTTTGAGTCAACTCTGCTCCTTTTCAGGGGGCAGATAAAAGATTGGATTAAGATGTCCCTTTAGGTAGCATCTGGAAAATAAAGTTGTACTTCCTCTGTATCCCGCGCCTCTTCTTCTTGCTCGGGTTTGGGAGGTGAAGGGTACACAGGCTACATTGAGCTGTCCAAGCGGAAAGCAGAATAGCAAAGCTCCCTAAGAATAGACGAGCACTTTAAAAGAAAATAAAGCAGGCTTTCACTAAGTTGTCCCCTGACGGTCTTGAATTCACTGTGTAGAGCAGGCTGGCCTCAAACTTGCAATCATCCTCTTGCTTTCTCTCTTAGTATCACCACGCCCAAATCAGACTGGTGTTAAGGTCTAACGATAAGAGACTTAGGTGCAGGTTACTTGAACCTTAAAAGATCCAAAACCTCATGGTGTCTTCCCCAGGAAGCTGCCTTCTGATTAGTTGCCTATGGCATGGGATGTGTGTGATTCTCTGAGAACCCAGACACTTGTGCTCACCTCTTTTGTTTTGGGTGGGTATGAATATATCTTGGAATACTGGGTGTATTTATACACGCACCCTCAGGGAAAAGGCTTTGTATCCTGGAATTAGAACACCAAAAGTCTTAACAGCTAGGCCCTGGAAACCAGGCTGGAGCCAGGACCCAGAACGTTACCTAGGAAACCAGATTGCTTTGACATCGGTCTAGTCACTTCCGACATCCAAAGACTAAATAGTGACGTCAGTTCCTGCAAGGAGCAACGGTGCTCTAGGATTGGCCAGACTTCTTATTTGGGCGGACGTCCCACCCTTTGACTGTTTCTGGTGGCTGAGACCCGGCTGCAGAGCGATGGCGGCTTTGACAGATGTGCAGCGGTTACAGTACCGAGTGGAGGAGCTGGAGCGCTGGGTGTACGGCCCGGGCGGGACCCGAGGCTCCAAGAAGGTGAGCGGTGCTGTTCAGGGTTCCGTTCCTGGGGCAGGACGGGAGCGGTCCACTGGCCCTGCCCCGGGACGAAACAACCACTTGTATCCCGTCGTGGGCAACCCAGCCTTTGGAATAACAAAGATCCGGGACCTCCCTGGAAAGAATCGGACCCTTGGGGTCCGTTCCCTTTGGGATTGGGATGAGCGGAGGCTCGAGGAGGATATTTAAGCCTTTTTGAGATGGGCTCAGTGACGACTTCTACTAAAACTCTACTCTTGGCGCTCATAGGCGCGCTAAGGAGACCAGACCAATTTAAAAACTGATTGATGGGAGTTTCAGTAAGAGCTGAAGGCCGCAGTGGAGTGTGGTTCTGGAGCCTTGAGAAATTAATTGCTAAATGAATTGCGCGGGGACACAAGAGCCCTACAGGCTGAGCACAGGTGGATAAAGAAGCCTCCGAGGGATGAGAGTTGAGTTGGCCCAGACAAGAAGGCCTAGGAACTGAGTCCTAGGTGTTCAAGGGTGAACGAACGAACATAGTGTCTGAATTTTGTGAAAAAGCTTAGGTGCCCTTAGATCCTTTTTTATGATGTGGAAACCGTTTATTGGAGAACTTCTGGTCGTGTCAGGAATTCTCTGGAGCTAACTACATCAAAGGTCTGTGTACTTTTTGTAAAATCATCACCAGTTGATTGTGTTACCACTTGAGAACCAGCTTTTCAAAAACACTCTTGATTTTCCTCTTATCTCTGGCTGCTAATATCAGGGTTTTGTTGTTGTTGTTTTGTTTTTTGTTTGTTTTTTTTGTTTTGTTTTGTTTTTCGAGAGAGGGTTTCTCTGTACTGCTTTGGAGCCTGTCCTGGAACTGCTGGCTCTGTAGACCAGGCTGGTCTCGAACTCACAGAGATCCACCTGCCTCTGCCTCCCGAGGGCTGGGACTAAAGGTGTGGGCCACCAACGCCCGGCTCCACACTATCAGTTTTATATGTGTCCCCCTCCCCATGTATTTGTCCCTTGGATATTAGTATTCTTCACCTTCTGCAAAAACAAAAATATTGACTGAACTCATCCATTTCCTCAGCCTGACGGGCTAGCTGACCCTGACTGTTGTTGGCTCATTTCGCTCCCACAGTTTGACATCATGTCTGCAGTGTGTATCTCTGTTCTGGATTTTCTATTCTGTGAAGCTTCCTAATGTTTGTCTGCTGGCCTTGTCCTCTGGGATATCCCACAGATATCTCAAGCTCACACCCTTAACTGTGCTCTGCCCTAAGCTGATCTTCCTCTGTGTTCTCTAAGATGAGGATGCACCATCTTCAGGATCCTAGCGAGTCTTCCATCTCCTGTACTAGACTTGATGTAGAGGGGATGGGGCTAGAGGTAGGCCAACCAATCTGTCCTCCAGCCTTGAGGGAAAGAAGAACTGGGTGAGGATATTTGCATATTTCACACCCAAACCTGGGACTTGGGAACCAGGAAATATATAGTATGTAAGGGTGCCCCATCACATCCTAAACTAGTTCATTACATCCCCAATTAGACACACACTGCCACCCGCATCCTGCCAAGGTTAACACGATTCAGTCCCTCTCCTTCCACATTTTTAAAGTGTTCCTGGAGATGAGACCTTACCATCCATAATGCAAGAGAAGGGAGACTAAATTATTGGAATTCAGAGGCATGAAAGTCTAGAGAGACAAGGATTCGCCCATATCTTTCTTTTTTCTTTTTCTTTTTCTTTTTTTTTTTTTAAGATAGGGTCTTTATTAAGTAGCAGTGGCCGTCCTGAAACTTGCCATGTAAACCAGGTTGGTCCTGAATTCACAGAGATCTCTCTGCTTCTGGAGTATTGGGATTAAAGGTTTACACCATTATATCTGGGTTCTTTTACATCTTAAGCCATGTGGTATACCTTGGAATTAACCTCTACTTCCTTTCAGGTGGCTGATGGTCTGGTCAAGGTGCAGGTGGCTTTGGGGAACATTGCCAGTAAGAGGGAGAGGGTGAAGATTCTTTACAAAAAGAGTAAGTACCTCTGTTAGGTGTGCAATTGCACTGCCTCCCATGGCTGTGTCCCTTCCCTCCAGCCTGTATGTCACTAGAGTAGCCCCTTGAGGATAGCAGGTAGATTCCTGTTGATGTGGTAAGTTGTGGTGTGCTTTCTTATGGGTAAATCCCAAGCCTGTGTCCAGTGTCCAGAGTTCTCCCACAAAGCTTTCCTTATTGGAAGAGGGGACAGGATGTGACATTTCTCCAGGCAAGGTTGGTTTATCCAAATGTCTTAAATTATTGTAGATAGTAATTTTCTCAGTAACTAGAAATTAGACAAAACCCTAGCTTTTTAATATTTATGGGGTGTGTGTGTGTGTGTGTGTGTGTGTGTGTGTGTGTGTGTGTGTAGTTGGAGGACAGCCTGTGGGAGTCAGCTCTTCTGCCATGTAGATTCCAGGGGTCAAATGTAGGTCGTCAGTTTGGCAGCAGTTACCTTTACCTGTTTGCCAGCCTCTAAATTTCCTTTATAAAATAAGGTTCCATTTCTGTTTTGTTTTTTTTGTTTTTGTTTTTTTTTTTTTTTTTTTTTTTTTTTTTTTTTTTCTATCCTGCTACATTGCTAGTTGAAGACCTGATCAAATACCTGGATCCTGAATACATAGATCGCATCGCCATACCTGATGCCTCAAAGTTACAGTTCATCTTAGCAGGTAATGCTACACTATGTGTGCACAGGCACCCGAGGGTATCATTTGTGGAGGAGGCAGGCAGTGATGGCTTTCCTCTTCTATCTTGTTATACATGTAGCCTGTCACCTACAACAATGCCAACAGTATGCCTAGTGACACTGTGGCTCTCCCTGTTTTGCCATGATAGCACAGGGCATTCCTTTTTGAATAGTACCTATTCCATTAGTGTCTGCAATATCATACGTATAGATTAACATATATGTGGAACAATTTGTCGGTGAGTTGGTTGGTTTTTGGGTGTTTTTCCTTTCTTTTTTAAGGTTTATTATTTTTTAGCCATGAGTTGGTGTGTGTCTGAGTACAGGTATGTACATATGAGTGCAGGTGCCCACAGAGGCCAGAGGCATCGTATCTCCCTGAAGCTCAAGTTACAAGTAGTTGTAAGCCACTTGACGTGGGTGCTGGAAACTGAACTTGAGTCTCTGGAATGGCGGGAGAGTTGTTGCTTTGTTTTGTTTTGTTTTTGGAGACAGGTTTTCTCTCTCCTTTTTTTTTTTTGACAGAATTTCTCTGTAGCTTTGGAGTTGGAAGTAGTTCTTATAGACCAGGCTGACCTTGAACTCATGAGATCCACTTGCCTCTGCCTCCCAAGTGCTAGAACTAAAGGCGTGTGCCACCACTGCCCAGCTAGAGTAGGCACCCTTAACTGCTGAGCCCTGCTGTTTATTTTCTAGAAGGTCTAGAGAACACACAGCAGGTTCCTTTCCCTTCCCCTTTGTGTTTTCCATGTTGGCAAATTATGGAAAAGGGTGGCTCTCACTGAAGGTCATCTTTCTTGGGAGAAAGCTCTAGGACTTTAGTATTCTAGGCAGAGGTTCTAGTCAGTCACTCATTCCACAGTAGAGTTTTCTGAGCACCTGTATGCATTCATTCATCCAGAAGACACCAAGATGGCATGTGGGCATGTGTGTAGAGTCTTAAGTACTTGGGAGACTGAGGCAAGAGGATTACAAGTTCAAAGCTAGCCTGAGTCAACATGGCATGATCCTAACTCAAAAAAAAAAAAAAAAGGGAAAAGAAAAATATTAAAGGGAAACAGGTAACATTTATTGATCATAAACAGGCTTTATTCTTGTACGAGATATACAATGGTGAATCAGAAAGTCTTTTGTCCTAGGAGCCTGAGCTTGTAACCTATCTTGGGAGAATGACAGCTGTATTATAACACTAAGGACCAGGGGTAGGAGGGGTAGGAGTTCTCAAAGGGCTCCTAGATCC